GCATAGGCGTATGTCGTTAGTGATCTCTTGATATCCTTTACGATATCTAGAAAGAGAAGGTCTGCTTATGATGCACTTAGAATGGATGTCTTGTCACAAAAAAAAAAGGCACCTGGCAGTGGCAGGTGGAAACGAGCGGATGGGCGATGATAGCGGATAGTGTTATGCAAGCTAATCAATACTTATCATCAGCTGGTTCGGGCACCGTTTCACTGTGCCGATCCACGCCTGCCGGCTATCGCACATGCGATGAAGACTGCTGTCTTCGCACGTCGCTTTTGCTCCCAACCCAAAACCACTCTTCTATGCATCGCCATCGTTCAAGCGATCTGGTCAGCACATTGGTTTTTCATATTCGAAGGCCACCCTTTCATTCCGCAGGCAGTAGCTGCTCATGCCACTGCCATCTATCACCGCACATATAAATAGGTTTCTCTTTTCCGTCACTTCTCTGTTCCTCATTTTCTCATACATGTATTCACACCCAATAGTCCGTCACTCCTCTGGACACTCTGTTGGGAATAAGTTCTGCCTCCAGACCATAAAAAAATACTTATGATCAGAATGATTGGGCGTGTACCACCTTAGGAAATAATTATCCAGGAATTATCCAGGAATTATTCAATTATCCATTTATCCAAATTGCAGCAATTTTAGATAAGTTTGGATAAGTTTGGATAATTTTGGATAATCTTTGAATAACATTTGAATAATTTGTTAATAGCTTCTAGATATGTATGTTCCCAGATAAACAATAAAAGCCATCCTTTCTGATTTGAATCATATAATTATGATGTTTATTGAAACGCTACCATTACATCTTTGATATCTATTTATTCGCTACACAACTGCCTATGATCTCTGTCTTTTGGCTGGCCGTCCACGCTTTTTCTTTGCTGGATCCGTGCTTGTGCTTAAGGCCTCGCTGTTGCTTATACCAACCTGCTTTGGTGGTCTTCCATACTTCGGTTTTGTTTGACTGGGAACTATAAAAATTGGAAATCAGTGCAAACATCATTTAGCTACCAGCTTACCATCTTGACGTTTCAAAGAGCTTGTCGCTGCTGATTCTTTACTGTTTGTGACTTGTTGTGTTGGCAGCTTGTTGACCGCTGTATTCGATTCTTCACGCGCACCTCCTTGTACATCCTGTTCATCGCTGCTTTGATCGCTATCACTGGACAGGGCTGCATCCAGGTCCAAGTCGTTATCGGAAAATGGAGCATCGTGCTCCTCCAGGTCTAAACCATCGCTTGGCTCTCGATTCGATAAAATATCGGTGGTGGTCAAATCGATAGACGATGATCGTTGATTGTCAGTATGCGAAGGGCTGTGAGCGAAGCGTGGTAAAAATTGGCAACAAAATATGACCGTATAATTTATTAGTTTTTACTCCTCGTTATAAGAATAAAATAGAATGAAATGGAATATCATACCTGCTATCAAGGAAAAGATTGATTTCACGAAGTATTTCAGATGTACTAAAAACCACATTGCTTAATCAGTTAAATATGTTAAGAAGATTGTAGCTGCTCAGTTGCACAGCATACCTGATGTTGTTAATTTCTTGATCAGCGACAATGACTCCTAATATGAGTATCATATGTTAACTAACTAACTCAACAATAACAATTTCTTTCTTGTGTTGTGCTAATATCTTACCTTTTCCTTTGCAACGTTGAAATGCACGCACCATTAACAAACGAGCTCCCCAATGCTCTACGCACGCCTTCAATGGAAACTCGTCATTCACAACATCTTCAAGTAGCACCATGCTTTCACTCTGGACGTTTTTCGGGACGTCACACCATGTATCGCTAGGCGATGATTGTGTGGTGTATCGTTTGCGCAAATCGAAAACGATAGAATCAGCAAAGGTGGTGACGTTCTTCTTGAATGTCGACAAGTAGTAGTCTTTCCATGGCTGATTTAACTGCGTTGTCAAAACATCCTTAGCAAGCGCTTCGAAATATTGCCAGTTGAAAGTGGTGATAGCTTTGCCGTTGCTTTTCCTTGGTTCCATTGCAACGCGTTTGAGCGTCTTTTTTGCAAAAGGATTATCGTCGCTTGCTGCTCTTGGATAATTTTGCTGTTGATGTTTTTCGAGCATGCTGGCTGAATTCACGATCTCGAGCTGCTGGTTGAACTTTTCCTTGACTGCATCGAATTCCAGATTGATCTTACCAAGTGCATTGCTCTGCTCTGCTTGCAAAGCATCGATCTTTGTTCCGATAGACTTAAAACCTTCCTTCATTTCTTTCTTAAACTCCATAATCAGGGTTAAAAAATTGGAAAGTAGGTTCGCGACGTTTTGCTCGTTGGACATGATTAACTCGAGAGAAATAAGCGAAAAGAGCAGTTTTTTTTTTTTTTTTGTAGGTGACCGTGGTCAAGTTTTATTTGCCTATACGTATCGGGAACGAAAGAGATATAGACAAGAGATCAAGGAATAAATCGGAAACAATGAAGAGGCGGAATCGATGAATGACGAAGGTCAAGAGCGTGGCGGAGGGCGACGGAGCGGATGGTTGGAACAGGTGTGGGTGTGCTTCGGATGCTTGGTGGATGTTATGCGTGTTTTTTTTTTTTTTTTTTTTTTTTTTTTTTTTTGTATATAATTATGTACAAGATAGATGCAAGACATGTAGGTAGAGTTAAGGCGGTTCATAAGATATCAGAGGCCGAGTACAAGTGATGAGGAAATGAATATCACGGCAAATGTTGTCGTGTAAGAAGGGCACTTGATCAAAAACATAGCGCCAGTGAGCAGACCACAGACTCTGTAGGATACATGAAATGATCATGTGGCTACTGACTGCGGATGGATTGGAGGGGAAGGATAAAGAAAAGATTGCATGATGGACTTGTGAAAAGGTAGGAGAAAAAAGGAAAAGGTCACACCAGATGGTGTACCATATAGTCCACTTAATAGGGCAAGCATATAAAAAATGAGTGATAGTATCGGGAGTATCCGAACAGAAAACACAATTGGGAGAGGGGAATGAACTTGGAATTGTATAGTGTAGGATGGCTTTACATGAAATTTTTTGATGGAGTGCACGATACCAGACATTACGAGCGGTGTGAGACACGGGTTCCAACCAAAATCGCTTCCATTGTCGTTTCTCCAGAGGCTCTATAAAGGAAGAATTTGGATTATTAATGAGTTGTGGGGTTACCGTGCGACGGAAGAGTCGAGTAGATAAGGATTTTAGGGGGGTAGCAAAAGTGATACTGGCTAGTAGGGCCTCAATAGAGGAGTAGAAAGGAAGAGGTGTACTCGGAGGATTTTGATAAAATTGACTAAAGAAAGGGTAATAGGACAAAAGTTGTGACTCAATGTGCTGAAAAAATTGGATGGTAATGTTGCGGTGTGAGAACGAATGATTAGGTTTGCGAGTCAGAGTGCGGGTTTGCAAATTCATATCAAAGGCATCAGCTACTGTAACTTTGTTCTTGGCCAAGCGACCAAGGACAGGGGGCGGGAAAAAGAGCAGTGGTAGAAAACGCGAAAAAAAATTTTCAGGGCTTATTTCCTAAACCCAGCTGCATAAAGGGCTATGCTATTGCCCTGGTACCTTTTGCATTTACTCTTGCTCTCTTCAGAATGTCAAACCAACAGCACGGAAGGGTTTACAAGAAAACCTGCGTTTGCGGCTATCTAATCAGTGGTACACGTGATGACATTGACCTTCATAAACAAGAGTGCATACAAAAGAGGATCGATCGTCTTCGACCAGGAGCGATGCTCTCAAGCAGCATTAACAAAAGAAGAGTGAGTTGAAGCTCATGTTATTTAGCTGAATGAAGTCTATTTAGAGCTTCTAAAACAATTGTATTTTTACGGTAGCTCACTGCTTATGACCAAGTCTCTACCATTGATGCAGTACAAAGATCAGAATCTCAAAACGCAGTTGAAGTAAGCATTCTTATATTTTTGCTATGGTTTGAGTATAGACAATTCCTTAATACTCCTTGTTTTTAAGGACGGTAGGAATGAAGAAGCATATGATGATCAACACTTTGACTACGAGGACTTTACGGATTCAATTGATGAGATCCCGGAATCGTCTACGAATATACGCGACTCTCAGCCCAAAGAACAGCAAACGTTGGCTTCTGCAGTCTTACAGGATTCACGTAACATCATCAATATCTCTGAAGATATAACAGCGAACACGTCCTCTCCCACGACCGAAGTCGCTTATGCGTCCTCTACTACCGACACGTCCAGCGCAACAAAAAGCAGAGTGCTGTCAAAGAAAGCAAAAATATACGACATGCGCCGGCCAACGTTTCACAGCGAGGAAGAACACGTTAAAACGAGCATTAAAAATTACGCAGCAGCAGTGAAGCATCAAGGATCCCGCGAACTCTATGAGAAATGGACCAAATGCTTGAATGGGTATACTCAAGGAGTTCTGCCGCCGTTGTACAGTTACAACAAAGCAAGGCAAGCATTGCGTGATTCGTATCCGATCAAGCCAATCGAGTACGATGTATGCCCGAATGGCTGCAAAATGTACATTCCCAGTGACGACAGTTTGCAATGCGAATACGAGGGCTGCCATGCACCTCGCTACCGCAACGACGGCAAGACGCCGACGAAAAAGATGCAGCAGCTACCGCTAAAAGAACAACTCGCCCTCTTTGTCAGCGACATAGCTACGCGTGAAATGCTCAGATACAGATCAAACCGCCAATCATCCGACGATGTCATGATTGATATTTTCGACGGTGCTGTGTACAAAGATATAAAGACGAAAACAAAATTATTCGAAGGAGACATGGATATAGCTTTGGCTCTTTACACCGACGGCTTCCAGAAAGCCAGACGCGGCAAGCATTCCATGACAATCGTCCATCTCGTTATCCTGAATTTGCCTCCAGAGAAACGAACAGAAGACAAGAACATGCTGCAAGTGTGCATCATCCCGGGACCCAAAAATCCGGAAGATATGTTCAGTTTCCTGGATCCGGCGCTTCAAGAGCTTCGTGAGCTGTGCAAGGAAGGAATGATTGTCAAAACGGATACCGAGCATATCAATATCACAGCGCATCTACTTTTTGTCGGTGGTGACATTCCTGCAGTGGCCAAGATGGCAGGACATGCAAGCCATAACCATTATCACGGATGTCGTTTTTGCACAATTCGTGGTGTTTATCAAGAGGGCAGAATGACCTATCCCGCTGTAAAGAAGAATAGACGAGGAAGTGGTGGCAGCGAGAACAACAGCAACAACAACAACAACAATACCAGCAGACAAAGAGCTTATACACGCTTGAAACCGGTTATTCGAAAATCAGCGACGTATCGATCTTCAGATTCACGCATGGGTCAGAGCAAGGCAAGTCCTTTTGCTGATTTACCGACGTTTCACGGAGCAACTTTCTTCCCAATCGATATTATGCATAACCTTGGCCTCGGCTGTAGTAAGCAATTGTGGAAGATGATCTCAGGTGACTACGGCAAGGATGGCAATCCGCTCTACTTGAAGCGTGCTGATCAAGAGCTACTCGGAAGTCGAATCGCTGCTTCGCGAGGCCTGACACCACCATCCTTCGCTGGAGATTGCAGTGATATAGCTTTCCAGAGTGGATTTTACCGAGCTGTAGATTGGATCCATTTCGCGCTCTATTTTGTGCCTACAACTTTACTTGAATTTTACGACGATCCAAGCACGCGGGAAGCACTTACCAGCTTTGCGACAATCTACAAGTATGCTTTCAGTCGAGAGATCAACAAGAACCAGATCATTTCTCTCAAAGATGCTGTCAAGGTTTGGGCCAAATGGCTGGATACTCAAGTCGAGGCCCAAAATATGAGCGCGGCTGTTTTCACCATTAACCAACATTATCTCAGCCATTTGCATACAACGATCGAACGGAATGGACCTCTACCCTATTTAGCTGCTTTCAATATGGAACGCGCAATCGGTGAAATTAAGCGTCGCATACGATCAAAGATCAATGCAGGCGTGAACTCAGGCAATGTGCTGGTGGATCTGTCCGCTGTACGAAGACGTAAGCGACTGGAGCGCGACGACGACAACAATGACGACGACGACGAAAATGATGAAGATGAGGAGCGTCCTAACCATGCGGTCAATGTTATAAATAAGAAGTCGAGGATGGACGTCATTTCAATCTCGGATGATCGTGACAGCCCGGAGATTTGGGGTCCTTTTGCGGAGCAGTCGATACAAGAGTTGCACTGCAAGAACCAACTGCGCCATTTCTGGGCGTGGCACAACGAATCTTACACTGGTATCAATATCGACGTTGATGAAGTTGTAGAGACTGGGACTCGGCTGCAAATGAACAAGAATACATACGGAGGCAGTGTGCGCGAATCGTTTGTCAGACTGCATATCGACGTGGATATCGACAGGAGAATCAGCAAAGCAAAGGTAAATCCAGCCAAAAGACAATATGTTGGAGATATCAAGTACTTCTTTAAACACGGCTGCATTGTACGTGGAGAGTACTGTGAAAAGCTGCTGGCGTTCGTGAAGATATACAAAACTGTCAAGGTAAGTGGACCATGGCCATACAAGACTGATAACGGAGGATCGAAACATGTTGTAGTAGACATCGAAAGCATTGTAGGATTTGTGGGCAAAGCTAAAGGCTTTGACACAAGAGAATACGTATATTGGTCTCAAAACAACAGTCATACAAAAAAAGAGCTACCTTTTGATTATAACTTGGATTTTATACCTCGTTAAAAAAAATAAAATGCTTGTTTGACTATAAAACACATATTACTGAATATTAATGCATCATGTTTGAGTGATTGATAAAATCGTTTATCAAGAAATTATTAGAAACGTGAATAATCTTGAATAAATTTTTGCAAAGTTGGATAATTCCTTAATAATGTTTGGATAATCAAATAAATCCTTGATAATTTTTGGATAATTGGATAAAACCTTAATAATTTTTTTCCAAGGTGTACTAGTCTTGGTTAGCGCCAAGCTCAAGCCAGGGATCAAAGGGTCTCGGTACAGTGTCTACCGTCAATGTTGCTTATGTTGAATACGAGATTACTTTTGGATTTGTACCGCGTCGATATTGGGCCGGTGAACAATAGCTTCGGATGATAACGATATATTCGCGCAAGGTGTTGGCGAAATATACATCATTTTTGGTTTGGAGTAAGTATGTGCTGAATGTCGTATCCAGCTTCCTGATGGGATAAGTGAGCCATTGTAGAAAGTCTCGGCCGTTGTTGGATTAACCATGGTGCGATGTGGTGGCGTGGTTATTCGGTTTTGCAGCATGGAGAGTAGAACTTCGCCGCGGCACTCAAAGCTGCTTTGCCCAGAAAGTTGTTTGACGCACTTCCATCGCGTAATCTCTTTTAAACTTGACATTGTCATCTTCTCTGATGCTGCTGTTGTTGCTGCTTGACTTGAGAAAGTACAATTCATTGCGAAACGTAATGTCGTAGAGCCGTCGTAAAGTGTCGTGAGCATATTGAATCTTGGTTAGTTGTCTGCTAATTTACGCGTACTTTGTGTATTATTAGTGATTGAGACGAGGCGATAGAGTTAATCCAACCGTGGTGGCGGTTTGCTTTGCCCAGTTGTTGTAAAAGACCGCTTGGCAACGCTTTGGACTGTACATATGAATTATAATCCATACTAAGCACATACGTAGAGCATGTACCTTGATGTGGCTGTTACAACTGCTCCCAGACCTCAGTGACGACATAATCACAGAGAAAGAGGAAGGTATGATAACAGTGCGCATCATTCTTTTAAAAGTCATTGCATCAAAGCAACTATCCTTTAGTTCGAACGCTTCTTTTCGTATACAAAAAGGCGACAGTCTTTTCAGTTCGGCACGAAAGTAATGTGGCTTCTTCTTATGTAAGCATCTTGTCACAGTACCACTAATCTCTGTTGATAAAATATTTCTCACAATTTCAACCATTCCTGGCACTTGTCTTTTACTTTTCCTCAGGGATGTGTTGCTGAAACCTATGTGCACCTTCTGGCTTGGCGGGGTGCACGTACGTACCTTCCTATTGGAAAACAAGCGGCGACGTTGTCGGGACACGCCCTGCATGATACCGGTGGAAACCTTCGTAGGACAATAATACACGCAAATCACACACGCCTTCTTCTTGACCGCTTGACCGCTTGACCGCTTGACCATGTCTCTTCTGCACATGTTTTTTTCTTCCCTACCCTTTGCTTTCTCACATGATTTTGAATGACGAATCACAAGTCAGGTGACGTGTTTTTTTAAGACAGGGGTTTGAGTTCAAAAAATGTAAATACGCCCACATTTTTCAGGCCATTCCCTTTTTCTCTTCACTCTTTCTTTCCTTCACTTTTCTTTTCCCTTCACTCCCTTGGATCCTCCTGGTCTTTCTCTTGGCTCTTCCCTTGGTTCTGGTCTTCCCCTCGCTCTGGCTCTTCCCTTGGTCCTGGTCTTGCCTCTGTCGGTCCTGGTCTCAGCCTTTTTCCCGTGGTCCCCCTGGCTGCCTATATATAAAGCGAGCAATTTCGCCTTTCTTTTTTCTCTTCTCTTCAGTTCGTTTTGGTACAGCTTTGATCTGTAGTACAGATTCACTGTGTGGTGCCATGATCGGGTCATTGCTTGTGCTGGGGATTGTCAAGAGGATTCTGAGGATTGGCCGGATTCAGTGGTCCGGTCATAGGAAATCTTTTGCAATGTATCAGTGGGAATGTGGTCATATACTCCGGCCGATCGTGCACCTTCGGGTGCATGTGATGCCAACGGTATATGTTGGGATAATTAGAACGAGCTTTTTATTATTATTACTTATTATTTATTACACACAAATAAGAAAATGATAAACACAATAAACAAATCTTTCTCTTCTCGCACTCTTCTTATAAACGTTTTACCGCTTTTGCTTCGCCTTTTTTTTATGTGCACGACAAGTTCCTTATTTTTTTTTGCCCACCCACAGCTCCGTGCTAAACAAAGCGGGGAACAATGACAGACGACAGTAACACGATCACAACGCGCTTTATCACACTTTGGAATGCACTTTGCACCTTTCTTTTTTTTACATTTCTGTGGTCGCGTAGTTCTGCTCGCGAAATAATCGAAAGGAAAGAATTTGTTGGGAGGGTATGGACTCCAGCAACAACGGCGCTTAAGGCAAGCTGTTCTAAGCTGAGAGAACCAGTTTAATGGTTTGTTTCGCTCGCCACGCCCCTTTCAACCCCTTGATTAACCGAAAACAGCCATGCTGGTCTATAATTTGACAATTTGTTTAAAGCTGCCCACATCCATCATTGCGGGCTTGGACGATCGGCAATCGCTGATTGCCGTGGGCATATACTCGTATGAGAAGACGCTGGCTACGGCGTTCAGCACACATTTACTCCAACCCAATCCAATACACGCTCAGTCATGCTGGTGATAAGATATCCTTTCTTCTGATTTGAATTCGTCAATATAACTTGTGGTGACAAAACTTCCGTTCTGAGTGCATCATCGGCTCCCTTTTCTTGGTAAATAATCGTATAAGAGATTAAGAGATCACAAATGACATACGTCTATGCATCATATCGCGTCAGTCCATATCGGGTTATAATAGCCTTACATATGCTGGATCATCCGAATATAATGTTTACGTGCTTTACACAACTCGGTTGGATTGTCTCTATGCGACAGTGCTTAGCTTATTGCCATGGTAATTGCTGTGTATGCTTTTGCTTGATTTTTAGCCGAGTACCTTATTCCGATGATGATTTAGGTAGTGTAATGATGTGTTTTACCACAGTGTATTTATACATGTGTTTGCGCTCTGTATTCTCTTTTATAGTATAATAAAATCTGTGGCGAAGGTATTCTACCGATATGCAAGCACACCATAGCCAGTGCTTATTTTTATGTACTTAATACATAGGAGTTGACGGTTTACTTAAATGCAGGATCCGTCAATTCTCACACCTCTTTGAATTTCACACAAAAATCGGGAATCTTAGCTTTGAGCTGTTGTCAGGTTACAGTGCCGCTGCGGGCTGCTCAACCCTGTTGATGATCTCTCCATTACAGCAAACAGCGCAATACTCTTCCGTCGACCATAAGATAAGACATTTAAAAAGAAAAAGAAAATCATTCGACGAACCGCCGAAACCCTCTGCTATCAGACATCCACGTCGAAAGGCTCAGCACTATGTTGTGCGAGCTCTACTGTATGAGATGCGGGTGTTATTGTTGCTCGCTCTTTCTAATCCTGTTCTTGCTCACCAGCGTTGCTGCGCTGCTGCTGCTGCTGGTTGTTGTTGTTGTTGTGATGGAGATGATGGTGGTCAAAACACTGATACGTTTCCAAGATTTATGAGTCCGTTGAAGCATCACAAACTGCTGATGACTGCATTCGCAAAGTACTGGTGCTGTAAAATCGTGTGTACGACAAGCACGATTCAGCCCCGAGGAAAACGTGCTTGTCAAACAGATTGCTGAAATTTGTTTTCCATAGCACAGTGTATGTATCCCAAGTTTTTTCTCGTGTGTATGTCCGCCTTGGTCAATCCGGCGCTATAAAGTCCATGTTTTCTATATACTCGAAATAGACATTGCGTAGGTCTAAACAATTGCTCAGCAGTTAAGATTTGTGAACGCGATATGGTGAGTGTAACATCAAACAAACAAAAGAGACAGAATAAGTCAACGAGACCCGATGGGATCTAAAACCGGGTTATCATGATAACAAAAGTACTCACCAGCATGTGCATTGAACATATTCATTGAGCTCATCCGAGTAAACGTCTCAGATAGTAGCTAATGTGAATTACATGATCTATATTATGACAGCTTCTTCCTGAGCATAGCTAATCCGTGTAGCATCAAGATCTGTCTGGATGAGGAGATGTCCGCACATGTGAGGATATAAGGGAAATCACAGCAATCTTTAATGACGGCTCAAAGGATATGATATGTGTTATTTATCATATTCGACACAACACTCCAAATGCAAACTACCCTCCCATCTGCCTTCCGTAAAGCCTTTTCGTAGTGATCACACCATGGAAGTGGTCGTCTGTTTTATTTTCCATTGATGTACATAATTTTTATGGCTCATAATATTGCTGCGTGATGAAATTACCTATATGTTGTATATAGTGTACGCTTCACCCAACGACATCTACTTCCTTAATCCTAATCCATGTAGGAGAAGAAGACATGTCGTACTTGGCAAAGAATTCTTACGACTCCTTCAGAGAGACGATGTCGTGTGCTGGCGGCAGGATATCGTGTTCGCGTGGCTAGTATAAGTATACACTTTCATTGAGACGATTTAGAAAATTAACTTAAAGACATCATTATGATACGAGGATGACTCTTGGTCTTTTATTTTGTATGAATATATCATCAGGTAATAGAACATCCCGTCAATATATAGTTGGTACAAGCATTATTTGCAGACAAGCGAAAGGACTATCAAAGAAAGAAGTTAGAGAAAGCCATACTTGGAGTATATAGTAAAAGCAAACAACAATTGAATCAATCACTCACCACGTATTTCCAGAACAGATCGTCGCGGCCCCTACCCTACCCTCCCATTGCTGGGAGAACCTCCACTTTCGTCTGGGCGAACCTCCACTTTCGTCTGGGCTCCAGAACCTATCATAGATGCAATTATCCCCTCGCTCGCTCTTCAGACGTTTTCTTGTGTATATTTTGCCACTAACCGTTCTCTGTGACGCCTCCTCTTATCCGTGTACGTGACCTCACCATACTGCCCAATCCCGTATGGCTGCCTGCTACGGCGGCATGACCCTGACAGTCATCGCGTTTAGTTGTGGCCGCGCTCCACTGCATAGTCTCTACGTGTTGCCGACCCGTGCCCCGAACCTAACGTCTATGCGCGGCCGGTGGTCAGTTTATCGAGTCATTTCCAGGACTCAGCAAGCGGTCACAGGGAGTACAGGATCAAGAGGTGGGCGCAGGTCACGATTTACTGGAGAGGTGCATGCGCAATCGAACTTACCATGCTTTCGCTCTTCCACTCGCAAGGTAAACCAAAATTTCTTTCAGGCCTTCCGACAAAAGAGAAAAAGGTTAGGCATCGCCCAATCCGCGAACCAATCCTGATAAATCTTAACAACTACAGCAACGAAGGCACGTAGAAAATCAAGTTATTAAGACGTAAATACCAGAAGAATGCTACCCTAGTTGAAGAAGTACAGAAAAAGAATAGTTACCCTGTAGTCGTCACGCATATCCGTCCGCCGCCGCTACTACTACTACTACACACGCAAAATCAACGACAACGATTAAAAGAAACGTTGGTGACGCATTGGAAAAAAAAAACAAGTTGGAGATCATTGAAATTTGAAAGGTGTTTTAAAGTAGGAGGAAAAACTTACACTGTAAAGGTCCCATAGTACACCGCGTGTGTCAAAAGCATATTCGCCGACAAGGGTTCATAAGGAAAGCTAATTACGAATGGAATATGTTAAGAAAAAGAACTTTTTTAAAAGAGCGAGTGAGGAAAGGATTGGAGTAACTCGTTAGCGCATTGCTCTACTTACACGCCCAGTTTTGTTGCCACCACGGTTCTTGTTGGAAAAGAAGACAAGAGTGGTCGTGTTGTTGTGACGGAAGAACCTTTACTTGACTGCCAAATTATTGAAACAACGACACAACCACGGCGCACTGCCTAAGCCTTTCTGCTTTTTTTGCATGGGATATCAAAAAGAGAGAAAAGAGGTTTACACCTACACCGAGTATCTCTAAGTCTCCCAGTTCATGCCTCGTCTGCATTACACCCAGGTTTCACCTTGGGACTAAGCTCCGCACCCTTTGCAGGTACCACTATACTCGCACGGATAAACTATAGAAACGGATATATCATGATCCAAGCAACGTAAATCTTATTACAACATAGCAACCGTTGCCATCGTTACTTTACCTCACATGCTGTTACAACACCCCGTGCGTAGCTTATATAGCTTTCACTATGTGTTTGTTATCAAAACACACCTCCCCTGAACCAACCCTGGCTAGTAGTACCTCCGCCTCTTGTGTGACCTGTATATACTTCAATCCACTTCTTGCACGATTAACCATCATCTTCTCGTCAGTGCATACGCCACCGAGTCCACATTTCTTTCTCTTTGTGATCCCATACGTATTTGAGCATTTTAAACTCCAACCGTAGAGAAGGGCCATTTGCCATAGCCCGCTTATCTTTATCATCCCGAAAGTAAGGCACACTGACAACATCTTGTCAGGTCACAGCTAATGTTTTGAAGTCGCCGTAATTAAACTGTATGTACATGGCATGCTAAGAGCAGATGGCACAACTGAGAGCTTTATAGTGATATACGTTCAAAAGTTTTGATTTTATTTAACGTCTCTTTGAACACTGCGTCTGGGGGGGACATTTTGCTCGAGACAGGACTGAGGGGGTTATGACGGGGTAAAAACCCTGTGTATGGCACAGGAAAAAGGTTGTGAGTGAGAAGACTGAGTATCTGCTTTAGTTTAGCTGGATGAGAAGATACAGGTGTTGGATATGTATAGTTTAAGACCTGCAAGGGATAACGCATGGATATACCATGTTTTGCTGCTGTGTCTTACGAAAAGGTGACAGAATCTTTGTCGGTAACATTGCAAATTGCGAAACCGGGCGTAGCTTTGTGATAGATTGTCTGTATAAGGGCAAATCAGTGATGTTGATCTTCCTGTTCCAGACATATCAATGATGGACGTCAAAATTATTAACCCGATGGCAGCCATGCTACTACCCTTTCCTAACTTGATGCAAGTATCTTTGCCGACACCTTTGGTGACACCAATTCAGCAGAACATCTCCAAGCATACCTTGACTCACCCGGCATATGATAACATAGCCTGCAGAGATTAGTCAATGATAGATCGATCATGGCAACTGTAACTCAAGCCCTTTTGTCATCGTTGTTAAAGTGAATATGTTAGCAAGCCATCGAAAAACGATGCCTACTATTTGTAGTGAACGTGTCTTTGACATATCTGCTTTTTTTCCTCTAAGACATGTATTATTTTTGCTTGATCATACGGATATCATAGTGGACGTACCCGTAAGGTTTTACAATTATGATTGTACATCCCCTCACATTAAGGTCTTATCTGATCATTTGTTGCGGATGAATCATATCAACTTAGTTCAATAAGTGATGCTGTCCCGCAGCAAGTCACCAGAAATGATCGAACGCCTATCACGAGCAAAGATTTAGTATGTATGATCGCTAATTTCTCTTCAACTCTGTATTGCTTTGATTTGCACTACATGCTGTCTTGAGCACTAGGTATACAATTCATTGGGTTATCTTTTTAAAGAAAAAAGAAAAAGTAGGCAGCTGTATAAAGTTTGCTAATTGCAGCATTCAGCTATTTATTTTTTGAAGCAAATGTATATTATGTACGAATAGAAGAAATAGGAAAAGGGAGATATAACAGCTACAGTATAGTCATCGTTTATATGATAGCTATTCTTAGAGATCTGCTACATTTAAGTCCTGTGTAATTATCAAACACTCACCAGATGCTTTTTAAGCCTATGTTAACTACTTGAAGCTGTTGTCGGTTCGCTTATGATGAGATGGATTTTTTTTACAGAGGACTAAAAAGAAAAAGTTACACTAATAGTATTGTCGCCTCGTACTAGATGTCATATGGAGGTACAAAGAAACGCACGGAGATTAGCGGTTAGTATAGCGGGTTCCTCAATTGAAGCAAGAGCTACAGTGGTATGTAAATGTTATATACCTGCGCGACGACCTGCACGTGCTCTGGGAATGGGAACTGTTTCTACTGTGATTGGGTCTCCTTCATCCAATAAAGTTCTTGGTACACCTGCGTATCTACGTTTGCATCAATGATAATATACAAAGATGTATACTGTCAGAGGCCTTTGTCGCTATCAAAATAGCACACACACACACAGAGAGACACCAAGTTAGTATTATAATGGTACCGTTGGAAGTTCAGCTCTGTTCCGAATCGATTCTTGTAAATTTTCTCAAATTGTTCTTCATTGCGGTGGTGAATACGCGGAATAACGGCACCATGTCTTTTCTTGAGGTGGCTGAAGAATCTTCTTTCCTGAGCATTGCTATAGCTTCTATTGCAGCCTCTGTAGGGGCAAAGCAGGTCACCTTCTACTATAAGCATATATAGATCAATCTGTAATAAGCAAACGATCACATAAAATAAAGTACTCAATTATCACCGAAATGCTTTAGTCTTACCTCCTTCGGGAACCCGGACCGGCGCTTGCGCTTGTAGCTCTTGCCGCTGCTGTTGTTCTTGATGTCTTGATGATCCTGTAGAGGTTTGATTTTGTTGCTCCTGAAGTTGTGATGAAGGTCCTACAGAGGCTCGACTTTGCTGTTGTGGTATTGGTTGCTGCTGACCTCCTTGGTGTCTTGACGATAAAGCGGAAGACGCTGCTGTTTGCGGTTGTTGTTGTTGTTGTTGCTGCTGCTGTTGTTCTTGGTGCGTCAAAGATGATGCTGCAACTTCATTTGTTTTCGTACGCTTTGGCGACGACTGCTCCGGTGGCAACTCTAGTGATAGCCACAAAGGGGATGCTCTTGTTAGTACGCATCCACATTAATGAGTGTTTCAAGAGTTAGAAGCCATTTGTTGTCTAGCATTACCTGTGTTTGGTTGTTCAGTTACGCCACTGTCATTCTCTCGAGCACGCTTTCTGACTAGTGGCAGCGATGCTGATGTTGATGGTTGTTCGTTTAGTGTCCGTTGCGCACTTGGTTGAGTTTCTGAGGTATCGATTGCAGTGGGGTGTGTTTCTTGTGACGCTGGTGGTGACTCGACGAAAGATTTGCCTGTGGTAGTATTATATCAGGATAAGCATCACATAATAACTTTATCTTTTCGACACAAATGACCCCCTTCTAGACTTACGTTCACAAGCATTCTCGGTGTGTTCTTCTTTCACCACAGGTGCACCCGCTGTCTCTTGAGCTGCTAGTTGGTTTTGCCCTTGCTGATTTGAATAAAATGTCGCTAATTCTTCTGTTTCCATTCGTTTTGGGTTTTTTCCCTCCAATAAACACGCTAAGGATCACAAAAAGAGATGTAGTAAATGTTAGTGTGTGTTTACACCGTGGTTGCAGAAAATATTTCACAATATCGATGCTCTGACTTGCCTGTGCTCTGGTTTTCTGACTGGCCCGTATTGGCGCCATTCTCATAAGAGTCGTCTGTATGTCCCGGAACTCCGGCCTGGCGAGCGCGCTTCCGGCCAACATAATCCGTTGTTGCTGCTGTTGCTGTTGGCTCTTCTTCTGTTTGGGCCTCAGCGGCAGCAGTAGAAGAGGCAGAAGCATCTCCAACCGAGGACGAGAACAATGGTGCGTCTACCATAATATACACAGTGAGATAAGCATTGAGTTCTGCAGTTACTTTACTGTTCGATTTAACCAAGTACTTTGATTCTTACCCGGCGTAGTGAGTTCAACTGCATGAGTGGTCTCAACACTTGTTGATTCGGTTCGTTCTGGAGTAGGAAATTGAGTACTGTCCACAGTTGTTACGACACTTTGGTCTGAAAATGGAATGGTTAAAGAATATCAACTACTGTTGCATTGTCTAGCGTTCTTACAAGACGCGTAATTATGTGCATGTATTGCGTAATCACTGGTTGAAAATAATAATACCTGCATCCAAGATCGCGTTGAATGATGGGTCGTGGGCGTCGAGCTCAAGATCTGTTAAAGTGTTTTGCTCAATATTCCACATTACAGCTTCACTCGGTGGAGAATGGAAGAAGAGTAGGTAACAGCTCAAGGTGCAAGTTCAGGTGAAATAAGTGCGACTGCGCACCGGAGTTTAATATACTGGTGCATGATGCTACTGCGGAAAAAATGGAGTTGAGGCTCCTTTTACTTAGAGAAAAATAGACCAGCATTGCTATATAGACAAAACAAGTAGTACACATTTATACATTACTACAGGAAGCACTATAACTTAGAATGAGAAAAGTGTGTCTAAAAGTTATATCATACAGGAATCTACTACTGTAAAGAAGGAGAGTGATGCTAAGTTGTGACCTGGTAATAATATTTGAATAGCTTTCCTGATATGTTTGGCACACTCCTTTCTATTTCCTATTAATATTATGAGCTGTTATAGAATTAGAAATAGAAAAGGCAGTGCTGTGAAAGAAGAAGGGAAGCGTTGTGATCTGGATGTTAATACTAAGTGCAATAAATATAAAAGACGGACGAAAAGAGAAAATGTTATCAAGGCGCTTTGCATTTCAGTCGCTTGGTTGTGTATGGCAAGTGCAACAAAAGGCCCTGTTGCCCTAGATCTATCTGATATGCCTATCAGGAGTTTATAGGCAGATGTCACATTTACTTATTGAGATGACAGCAAGCAGATCACAGCACCGGATTGCTTGTTACAAGTCAGTGTAGCTGCTTTGACCTGTTGTCAGTTTGTCTGTGGTATGTAATAAAGTGTATAAAAAAAACCTACAAAGACTTCAACCCTAAATTACAGTACAGTAATCAGCTTTATACGTACCGATCAAGCATTGATTGAATAGTGATACCAATTCTACCCCAATGCAACAGAAGGACTGACTCGCTAATAAGCCAAATCACCACGTCTTTCTTAAACTTGTAGTTTGGTCCAACAGAGATTCAATTATTAATTATTAGCAGTGTTGCTAACAAAACTCACACACACACAAAGATAAACTGCGATAACAGTTTTGGATTCTGCTTCCTGCTCCCAGAAAAAAAACATAGGAACGAAACGAAACATCGTATGCCATGTAGATAACTGTTTATAGGAAACTCATCAAATCCGAATCGTGTGCTCGCTTATTGTTGATGAAGAAAAGGCTCGTCTTTTTTATTTTTGCTCCTGAACATATAAGCTGTTAGGTCTAAAGAGCTTACAGTCTTTATGAAGCGAAAGAACTGATTGACTGAAAAAGGCGGCAAAATAATGAAACAAATACAATTAGCAAAATTAGCCCAAATCTCTCTCTTTTTTTGCATTTAGTGTGATTGTTCGTCGATTTCTGTGGCTGCTTGCTGTATTCTAGCATGTCCTTTATAGCTGCAATGTACAACAGCTGACTACTAGTGTATATAATGAGTGCATGCAAATAATACATAGTGAATCACACTTACCCGGGATTTCCTTATTAACTGTGTTGTGTTTTTGACACAGTCAATAAGGAAATAAGTCAGTTATATTCGAAAGTGTGACGATGTGAAAGGTTCTATAGACCACATTGACTTGAGGTGAGGTAGTCAAGCTCCTCCTGAAGGCCATGATTTTTCGCTCTGACCGATACAACGGATACAACGGATACAACGCTTACAACGCTTACAACGGATACAACGCTTACAACGCTTACAACGGATACAACGCCTACAACACTTACAACGGATAACGGATACAATGTTTAAAACGCTTACAACGCTTACAACGCTTACAACGCTTACAACGCTTACAAGGGATACAATGTTTAAAACGCTTACAACGCTTACAACGCTTACAACGGATACAACGTTTAAAACGCTTACAATTACAACGCTTACAACGCTTACAACGGATACAGCAATTTGCGAAAACTCACAGAAGCTTTGTGCCATGAGTTACTGACTAGATTCAATATATCCTCCGAGCAGTGGCAGAAATACATAAATAACTTGACGATCCATTGGTACCCCGTACATATCAATGCTATTGAGAGCGATTTGTGGATGATTTGCTCAAAAGGGATAAACGTATGGTGATGCTTGACTAGCTTTTGTATAATTTTATCCACATATGATAGAAGCAAACGATTTCTTCGACAGCGACACAACGGTGCTGTTTTTCTAAGCGATTGAACCCACTTACAATGCAATGAACCGTAACTCTAGGCCTAGTAGCTAAAAATAGCTTGAGATAATAGACCAAACGAATAGCGCTAGCTTACACATTGTACGAAATGTATATGATATGCGAGGGGTTTTTGAACTACAGCTGCTCGACAAAAAATGTGCATTGTTTGTATTACAAGCGCAGTTGTTTCACTTCACATCAATTTTCCTGTTATCAAGCGCGTATCCAGCTAAATAGTAACGTTCAAAAATATCGACTTTTTTTTCCTGAAAAACAAAACAGTTGGTCGATCTCTATTTTCTAATCTCAAAGGTCTTCTTGACAATATTTAGACAATCACGGTTTCAGTTTCAGCAGCCCAGCATTTAGTAATTCTTCTGCAGCCAGATCGGGGAGGCCGCTAAGCTCTTTATTGCTACACTCTCGGTTTTCTCTTCACTTTTAACACTTGACAGCGCAATTATTTAATCCACCTCTCAATGAAATTTGAAGAGAAATACGCAGAAGCCATCAAATTGGTTCGACACCGCATAGCGCGTGGTGAAGACATTGTTATTTATTCAGCGCAGTTCCACGGCGTATTTGACCATTCGCCGTGGGCTGGTGAGTTGGTAAGGAGTACTTTTAATAGTGCAGCACGTTTACAAAGAGAGAGAGAGAGAGAGAGAGAGACAGTCTTTCTATATAGGAGACTTACACATTTTTATTGCACATAGGACGTTGAAGACGAAGAAGAAAATCAAAGTAGAACAACGACCAGTCATAGCGATGACCAGAAAGGGTGTACATCATCAACAGTGTCTACGGCCGACGACGAACCGCTAAGCAAGAAAGAGTAGGAGAAAAAAAATAGAGTGCTGTGTTGTACATGTAATGGTTTTGCTAAAGTGAAATCAAAGCTATAGCGGGCCTGGTACTTTGTCACGATCGTCTTCATTCCTCAGTAGCAGTGGCAACGAGGCAGACAAGGTATAGTGCCAGTATGATGCATAAGTGATGATACATTCCTTTTTGTTCTATGCGGCTTAAAAATATATATCCGTGTGTGCGTGTGTGTATATAGTCATCATCAGAGGATGGCCTCTTTAGAAAACCTTACGAAAGCAAAAAACTCATGCCGACAAGGAAAAGTAGACGTCCAAAATCCCCCTCACGTGAGGCATGATATCCATCTCTCAATTAGATCTCTCTCACACCTCCACACATATGTTTTTCGCCTATCATACAAAATAATACCGTGTAAGTTTTGAATCTAGCCTTTCCACCACAACTGTAGAATGTATTTATATAAAGTAATAGCAATAACAAGAAGAAGGGAAATGTACCGTGTGCGTTGATCTGAGTGAGTGAGTGAGAAAGGAAAGGAAGAAAGGAAGATTATGCTAATTCTCGAGGAGTGGGGCTCTGCCACGAATAATCCTTGTATGTAGCCAACAACTCGCGCACCTTATCCAAAACCTTTGTTTCCGTTTCCGTGGGCTTCTCCAGATCCTGTTCACGGTCCTTGACGCGTTTCCAAGCAGCCAAAGCCTTCTGCACATCCTCCTTGTTTTCCAATCCAATATACGTCGTGTTGAGCTGGAAGATATCGCGGCCAGTGAACGCAAACATGGAAGCGAGCTCGGAGATATTCAAACCGTTTTCTTTGGCGTATTCTGCACTCTGCTTTGCAGCATTACGGAGTTCGGCATGGGCAGGGTGCCACTGGGGTGGGCCGGCATCACGGAACAAGGCCATGCCTAGCGGCGAAGCATTGGCAACATAGCGGACACCAGCAGCTCGGAATTTAGGGGTATATTCGGCCAATTTTGTGTTTTGGAGCGTGTAGTGGCAGTAGGACAAGATCACGTCCAAAGGCTGACCCTTGGCTGCTTGGTGTTCGGCAATCTTGAGCAACACGGGTAATGGATATGCAGAGCAGCCAACATACTTGATTTTGCCTTCAGCCTAATTCATATTAGAGTAGATATACGAGAACTTGGTGTTTTAATATACTGTGGTCTCAAACATCCCCAGTTATTCCCTGTGCCTCTGTGATTGCAATAAGCTTGAATATACCTTTAGTTTGAAAAGAGCTTCCAGAGCTCCACCTGGTCCCACAACATCCTGGAAATCAACAAACTCGACATCGTGGCAAAGCACGAGATCCAAATAATCCGTGCGCAACCGACGCATGCTTTCCTTGACGCTGTCCAGGATACGCTCGGCACGGTAGTCAAAGTCCTTGGTAGTTACGCCATAGCGGCCCACTTTGGTTTGGATATAGTACGTTGAACGTGGAAACTCGTCTCTGACAGCTTCAAGTGCATCGCCCAGCACAAACTCACTGGCACCATAGTATGGAGAGGTATCGAATACATTGATGCCTACAAGGTCTCGTAAGTAAGCACATGGAGATTCTTTCTTATTTCCGTTCTTCACATACAATTGAACTGATAAGATTTAGTAATTTACCTCCTCGCAATGCTTCGCGACATGCCTCGACGGGCCAGTGAGACTCGATCTTGTCATAGGTGCCTGAAAGAGCGCCAGCGCCAAAACCTAATTCTGAAGGACGGAAATCCGTTTGACAAACAGTTTGCTATTTATACACACACGCCAAAAGGTATATATTAGAAAAAGAAAAAAGAATGGGAATGAGCATGACGTTTATAAAACTAATCTCGAACCTGAGAAGTGGACATTTTGGGATCAAAAAGCTTACCTGAATACCAGAAGTCCCCGCCGGGCTTTTATAGCTTAAAAGCGTGCGAATAAAGTGAATAATGTGTCCGAGCATGAGGATGATGAGACCTTTTTTATGGTTGATTAGAATAGCAATATCCTCTTTGTTCATCTTCGTCTCTTTTATATGTTTTTTCGTGTTTTTGAGGCAATGTTGATGATAATCTCATCATCATCATCATATCCCATCGTTAGTGCTTATCATCAGTGTACCATCTTTATTTCTTGTTTCAGCACTATTCTACATTGTATGCATTCGCTATTGACAAATGGAGCCTGCATGATCTGATTACCATTTCTTGTTAGAGCAGAGAGCTTATTCAGGCTGCCTCCTTCACACACTCAGGGCTTTTGAGACAATCAAGGCTGCTTTTCCTGGATAGTCTAGCATTTGAGCCGGCTAACGTTTGCCACTTTGCCCACAGATCACATTTTCTCTCTCTCTCTTTTGCCCCTATCTCTCATTTCTAGTGCGCGCGCCTCCCCCCGTTCTTTTCGGTCCACATTTACTTTTTTTTGACAATATACTCCAGCCATGAAATAAAGCCATGTCCACAAAGAAAACGACTCCTACTGCAATTCGCAATCAAAGAATGTACGAGCGGTACGCGTTCAATCGTTGGGGAGATTCCAAGGCATTCCCGATCAGTGCACCAAGACTTGTTCAATACATCAAAGGCAGACAAAACGATGGATGGAGATATGTGTCTTTGAGACACGTATTGTATGGCCTAGATCGGCATCCAGCACATGACAAACACTGGTTTGAGCAAGTGTACCGTCATATAAGCGTCCAGGAAGCGCTCAGAGAGTTTCGTCTTTGTGAAGCAGAAGCGACATCAAAGACAATGCTCCCAACTACTGTTGCCCAACGGCATAAACAACAACAACAACAACAGCAGCAGCAGCAGCAGCAGCAGCAAAAAGGAAAGACACGTAAGACTACTTCTGGAAAGATCTGTTGTCGCGTTGGGAAAAAGGGTGTTGGTAGAAAAGGTTGGTCTATATACGTTTTATTGGGATGCGAGAACCGCGTATGTATAATAGTGGTCGTACGTTATACTCGACAAATGCTCATTTCTTTTGTAAGGTTTCGTTGTGAACGCCTCAAGCGCTACGAATACCACAACCACAACCAAGAAGCAGCAGCACAATCCCAAAGTACGAGCCTTTCCGACACATCGCATCGCTGTGGTCATCGAGTCACCCTCCTCCATCCTTTTACAGTGAAAGGTTGTCAATAACCAGCTCCTCCATCTCTTATTTGTGTATTTAGCTCCTTCTTATTTTCTTTCTCGCTTCTGTAAATATAGTTTATCTCTCTTTGCACATAGGCGTAAAAACATATTCCGAATAAAGCTTATATTGTGTGCGCTTCTTTTTTAATTTTATGTGATTTGAAATGTAGTCTGTATAACAAAAAGCGCGTGTGATGAAATTCATCAGCTGCAGCAGATTCACCAACCCACCGCTCCGAATTCGCGGATCGTCTATTGTGTGCCTGAAATTCAGATAAACAATGATTAAGCAAGATATAAACACGAAAACACAGCCAGCTTGTTTACACAATGCTGGCTACTACGTGCGCCTAGTACCAGGTTACTAGCTTTCATGTAGTCGATTGTGTTTGTAACTCAATGCAAGCGACGAAAGCTAACACCCACATCCGCCCATGATTGCTTGAAAGTGAAGCTACATAAAGCCACATCTCTTGTCGTTCAAGGAAGCTTGCGTTATATCATACGACGTCGGCATATTATTTCTGTGATATATATCGTATGTCATAGATGCTGTTGTTTTATTTGGAGTAGGCTACATCCAAAGATCGACAATCGATATTTTAGCAAAATGGCGCTTATTACGCGTTTTCTTTTGGGGGGGGGAGATGGAGGGGGACAAAATAATTTAGTTCACTATACATAACGACGATGATCGTCACATTAAGTTTAACGTGAACGATGCATATCTCTATCTAACCCTTGACCGTATGTAGATCAAGCAACACATATCTTCCATTTATGATGGTACTCTATGATCTGATAATTTAATTACTATAAAAAGATGGCAGATCTATCTTGATATCTATTTCAAATATGCATACATGGTAAAAATAAACAACCGTGTGGGTTCCTGCGGGACGTGCAGACACCTCTTTTTTTACCACTACCTTTGTTAAAATGGTTTGTACTTTTCTAAATAAATGTACAATTTTGTTTTTGCCGGGGTTCTCTTTTCCGATTCATCAAAAACTGTAAACATTGCGTATACCTTCATATGCGTTTTGTAATCATTTCACTATTCTTTCAAAGTGCGTTGACTTACATATATAATAAAAAGAATATACATAAACGGATTCATCACTGGTTTTTGGGACTCGTTATTGCACAAAAATTGTTGTTAGGGGCAATACCGTATATTGAAAAAGCGATTGCGTTTAATGGATCCAGATCTAACAGATGGCGGATAGTCCTTATTTTGACAAAGATGTCAGTTGTAACTCCTGCAAATGTTGATACAAAAGGCAATTAGCACTGTCGGTCATCGGCTCATATCGTATCCTAAAAATACGGACATGTACTTGTGTGACTTTGTGGTGCTATTGGTACACAATAGCAAGAAAAGCTTATATTTTCGTGACTGTAGATGAACACTCGGTGTTGAAGTGTTACATACGGGCTTTGATCATATGTGGTGCTGCTAAAGTAATCGATCGGTTGCTATAGTAGACATGAGCATAAAACTTTGGTCGCTACGGAAATATTTGCTGTTATTGCTGTAGATATAACACATCAAATTGCTAGCTCAGAAGAATCTCTTTACAACCATCCACTCCTGCTTAGCAATAATATGGCTAACAGTTCGACTGGAGCAGATGATATTATTATACGTGATATGTATTTGAACAACAACAGTGAAAGGGTGAATATGTATTAAACTCATGGGCTTTTACTCTTTTAGCAATTGACATCCTTCGTTGATTAGAAATGATTGCTTTGTGTCTAACCTGAATTTTTATATTCCGTACGTCATCTTCTTTTACCACGGTAATAACGCGTAAACGGATGATCTTTTTTTTCACACACTTTTTTAGCACCATAGACAGAGAACTTTCGTTATGCATTCGTTGAAAGTCTTAAACTATCAGCAATTTCGCAAAGTTGCGGATGCTGTCACAATCACCAAAGCAGCGTCGGCAGGCAGTGATAGTGTCATTAATGCCTAAATTAGGTCATTTATACACCGGCGATCATAAAAAATAACCCGAGTAGTTGCTCAGTTTAGCCGTTTTGTACTACGTGTAATAAAAGTGGCTGGAGGAAAAAAAGATTAACGACAAAAGTATTGTGTCGTGTGTATGTGGCTGGAAGCTGTACCATGTTAAACTCGAGCAAAATTTAATATTAGTTTGTAGGCATGCACACAAGCTGGTACGAGGAAGAACTGTTCATACGAAAACGTAAAAGGAAAAGAAATCAAGGTCGAGGATCATGTCCGAATGTAGCATAGCGCTAAAGCCACTTTGTTGATTGGTTGGTAACGTCCACAAAAGCCCCGCAAATCGCTTAACGAGCTCTCTTCTTAGACAGACAGACTGAAAGACAGACAGAGGGTTGCGAAGCGCGCGGTCGTCGTCACACACACTCACACACATCCACGCACGCCCTTTTTATTTTTCATTATACCGACTACCTCTCCCTTTTACTTTTCGCTTGGGCAATAGGAAGATCTTTATTTTTTGTTTTTTTTTTTCTTTCTCTTCCCCTCCTTAAACAAAAAAAAAACAGACACACACACAAACACCTTGGAATATTACCCATTAACTATTTATTATTATACAACAACAATTCCATGGCATCAGAAGCGAATACTCGGGATCTCCCTCCCGAGATTCTGGAGCAGCTTCAAAGTCTCGATTTGGAACTAGAAGAAGGCGACCTTACGAAAAAGGGCTACGAAAAGAAAAAAGCACAGTTATTACAACCTTATATTATTCAAGATGATGTGCCATCACCCTCACCGCCGCCGAAACAGGATGACCATCGCGATAACCACCACCACAACAACAACGATAATGACAATCAACAACAGCCATTGGAGGACTACTCGCAGTACGATCTGGAGCCCGAGCCATCAGCTGCAGATGTAACTGATTTTCTCGACTATTTGCCGTCACCAACACATTCTCCAACTCGGCCCGAGCCTGGTGCTGGTTTTATGGAAGAGAACCATCAGCGTATGCAACAACAGCAACAGCCAATGGCGACAAGCCCCACGCTTCATCAACAACAACCTATACAATCTTATCCACCACAACCACAACAACAACACTGGCAGCAGCAACAACAACAACAACCCTATTATCCTGGGGGAAACCAGTATTTTCATCCTGGAGCACCGGGCATGAACACGCCACGACCCAACTGGCAGCAACAACAGCAATATGGAATGCAGCGTCCAGCAGGACCTTATCCACAACAACCTAGACCAGGCTACGTACCGTATCAACAGCGTCCGCCCTATAATCGACCACCACCACCAGGAGCACCGCCATTTTCTTCACCTCGACCCATGTATCATCAAAGACCAGTTGCAGCAGGGCCACAGCAGGCTGTCGGTTCGCCGCGACCCATGTATCGACCTGCTCCTGGTATGCCTCCACCTCCACCTCCACAACAGCAACAACAACTTGCAGGAGCACCACGACCCATGGCACCTTATCCGGGTCGACCGATGCCGTCTGCACAAACAGTACCTGTACCTTCAGCAGGGCAGCCATCACGTCATACACGCACATCCTCACTCGAGTCGAGATCAGACGCAGCAAGTATCATGCAGCCACCACCACCAACACAAGCAGGAGCAGCGCAACGACCCAATTATGCTGGTTTCAACGGAAACCAAAGCCTAGATTTTGATGGTCGGCCCTCTACGAGTACTGATGATTGGGGTAAATAACGGGAAAACGGGGATATAGTATTAGAGTTATCTAAGAAGGTGTGGGGTATGCTAACACGTCTTTTATAAATGGACGATGAATTGTAGAAACAGCATCTATGAGCGGCAACAACAGCAACTGGCGACCTACATCAGGAAGAGCACCGTCCATCATGTCATCCACAAGCCATGCACGTGCCTCGGGAAGTCATTTTGCAATGATGGAAATGGCGCGTGCACCGATTATACGACGATCTTCACTCACACAGGGCCGCAGTCGCTATGGCAACAGTTACATGGCGTCGAGCTTCAAAGCGGTTGAACCCGCGCCTCAACCACGGCTCTTACTCGACGATCCAGCCGAACAAATGATCTTGGCGGACTTGGCAGGACGACAACAGTTGCCGTTACAACCACGTGAGATTCCATTCAGCATCATGGATCATACGAACGAACATGTGGATTTAAATCAGTTTCAAAACCTGGCTCAAGTGCTTCGTTATCGAGCGACCAAGAGTGGGAACGCACGGAATGCTGCATTTACAGTCGTAGACGGAAGAGGCAAAGAATCAGCGAGCATGACTTGGGAAAAACTCAATGCGAGGGCCGAGAAGGTGTCGCACATGATTCGTGAAAAGTCTGGATTACACCCGGGCGAGCGTGTCGCGTTGATCTATCGTAAATCGGAACATTTGGAATTTGTGGTTGCGCTGTTAGGATGCTTTTTAGCCGGCATGGTAGCTGTGCCAATCAATGCGGCCGAAGAATTGGCGGAATTGTCGTTTATTCTGAGCTTGACGAACGCGTATTTGGTGTTGACGACGGATTTTAATTTGAAGGCTTTTACAAGGGATATGCAGGCCAAATCGATTGAGTTTCCTTCGAATATCGATTGGTGGAAGACCACGGATTTTGGATCGTGGTATCCGGGCAAAAAGGGCGGCTATCCTACCATCCAAGTGCCAGATTTGGCGTACATTGAATATGCAAAGGCTACAAATGGCGAATTGAAAGGTGTGGCTGTGAATCACAAGACAATCATGTCTGGTTGTACTTCGTTCCAAGGTGCAGTGACCGAAACAAAGTCGTCTGTTACGCCGGGCGAACATGGTGATGAACTTAGGTTGACCCCTGTTTATAATGCAAGAGGGGGGGCAGACACTGTGGTCACGTATTTGGAACAACGGCAGCAGATTGGTTTGGTGATTTCTGTGCTATGGTCCATCTTTGCTGGCTGCCATACCGTATTTGCTAGCTCGAGCATTGTTGATACTCCAGCCGTATGGATCTATGTCCTTTCCAAATTCAAAGGTAAAAGTTTCTCTATCAAGGAAATTTGACAATGGGTGTTTTTTTTTTCTAACTTTGTACCGTTTCTGTAATAGCATCGATGGCACTGGCGGATTACTCTTCGCTGAATTTTATAGCAAAGTACTATCAAACACATACCAAGGAAGTCGTGAACCAAAGCAAAAAAGTGATGCCCGATTTGTCGTCGTTGCGCTTCCTGATGGTGGATTCACTGGTTGTGCGACCTGATTTGAACGATTTCATTGCCGAATCTTTGCTCAAGCCGTTAAAGAACAAAACACCGGCACAGACGATATGTGCTATCGCATCCTTGCCCGAACACGGTGGTATGATCATTGGTTTCCGAGACTTTTTGGGCCCGGCGCAATTGGAGCAAGAAGAGACAGTGGACCAAGCAAGTAGAGAGCCGTTGGTGACATCTGTGTTGGCCACAGGCAGTGCGCGCGATATTTTCGAGTGTACTTTGAATGCGGATGTGCTCAAGCTGAACAAGGTCACGGTCATGGCCACTGGAGAGCAAGCACGGAAAGATGCCGATTCTTCACCAGAGGTTGTCTGTGTTGGGTCCTTTGGATTTGCCATTCCTGAAGGTAATGAAAAAGAAAAGCTACTTGGGAGGAGATGTATGTATGTATGTTAACTGATAACTGTGGATATTTAGCAACGATTGCTATAGTGGACCCAGAGACAGGCGTCCTCTGCTCTCCTGATACGATCGGCGAGATCTGGGTCGATGCGCCATCCATATCCGGTGGGTTCTGGGCCATGCCGAAACACACAGAGGCCGTGTTCCATGCAAAGCCTATCATTGTCCCGCCAGAGACGCTTCGCCCTGAGATTTATGACCAAGAGTTTCTGCGGACTGGTTTGGTGGGAACAACGATCGGCGGCCGTGTGATTATATTTGGCCCGTACGAAGAGCGTGTGCGTCAGCAACGATTAGGGGAAACGTTTGGTTTGGAAGAAGTCTATTTCTCGACGAATATTTTGCAAACTTTGAAGAAGCACACACGGGTGGATCAATGGTTAGTGATTTTTAAGGGGGAGGGGAGGGAGCGAGTGCTACTACTTTATTTGTTTAAGCGTGTCACAAATGTTAACTTTTGCCATATATAGCACGATCTTTGAGTTGGCAGTAAATGATCAACATATGCCGATCGTTGCATGTGAGATAGCCAATGTTGCCAAACCCGAATTGGGCAAAGTGGCCAACGCGATCATTGACACTGTGCTCAATTTCCATGGACTCCGCATCTACGGCGTTATTGTGATGGCTCCCAACACCATGGCCCGATGGGTCAAGCATGGCCGACGACACGTGCACCCGCTGATGGTCAAGCGTGCGTTTATGAACGGTGAAATGCCCATCCGGTATCTCAAGATGGATGTGGACCGCACGGTCTTCAACTTGGCTGCGAACGAAGACGTCGTCAATGGACTGTGGCGATCTTTTGCAGCATACGACAAGGCCATCCGCACCGGCCAAATCATGCCTCGGCCGCAACAACAGCAACATACCGGCATGGAGACGGTGAGGGAGGTCATTGACGAACGCACTGATTTTGACCTGAACAAGTTTAGCAACATTGTCGATGTTTTGTTGTGGCGCACCAAACTGACGTCGGAAGAGGTTGCCTATATCGCCGTGACACAGGCGACCAATGGCACTGTGATCAATACCAAGCCGTACTCGTGGCGCAAGATCAACAGCAAGATTGCGGCTGGGGCCAACTACTTGATGAAGAAGGGCTGGAAGCGCGGACGAAAGGCATTGGTGTTGGTTCCGTTCGGCGTGGAGTGGATCCAGGCCATCTATGCATGTATGGTGTTGGGCGTGATCCCGGTTCTGTTTGAACCACCGGATCCAGAACAGAACCTACAGCGGTTAAAGGAAGAAGTGGCGGCCATGGTGAGCACGGTCCGTGATCTTGATGTGACGTACATTCTGACCAACTCGGCCTCGGAAGATATCATGAAGCACAAGAACACGTCCATGATGATGAAGCAAGTGATGATGCAGTACAAGGACAAGCGCTACAGATTGCCTGACTATACAAATATCGGTAAGGCTTCCAAGACGAGCAAGGTATTGGGTAAAGAGAGCGGATTCTATGTCAAGCCCGAGTGGTTCTCGACAGGTGAAACGTTCCCTGCACTCATCTCGGTGCACACGGCAATGGATGGCAGACACACGTACACGACGTATGGTCATGAAACGATCTTGGCGCAATGTCGTGCGCAAAAGACGACGTGTCAGCTCAAGGCGCAACGAAGCATCGTTGGTTCTGGACTGGGTGCATACGATGGTTTGGGAATGTTGCATTTTGCGTTCTGTGGTGTCTATGTTGGTAAGTGTCTTGTATCTCTATTATTGATGACAATAATGATTGACTATCTGTCATTCCTTGTGATTTACTAGGCTCGCCAACAATCATGCTGTCTGTAAGTGACTTTTATGCCAATCCATCCAGCTACTTTGAACTGCTGACACGATACAAAGGTAAATTTGACAAAAATTTCAGTTCCTCTTTTGAGAATTTTGTTGTTTTTTAACAAAGATATCAATATAGCCAAGGACGTTTGCTCGTCGCATCCGTTGATCCAGTATTACATGAATTACTCAAAGAAGCTGACTCCCATGGAACAAGGCAGATTTGCTTTGCCGACTGTTCAGAACTTGATGCTTGTTACCGAAGGCCGACCCCGTCCGGGATTATGTGCGTAACATCATTGCCAGCGGCTATAATGTATGGGAAGATGTATAGTTTGCTAACTCTGTGTTTTTTTTTTTGGCTTGATAGACCAACACATGGTACAAACATTTGCGTCAAGGCGTCTCGAAAAGGAAGCAATCAACACAGTATACAGCCATCTGGGCAACCCAATGATCACTACGCGATCCTATATGCTCATTGAACCGATCTCGTTGCTTGTTGATTTTGCATGGCTTCGCCAAGGCATCATTCGACCTCTTCCTATTGAAGATGAAGCGTACGGCATCATTCTGCACGACTCGGGTATTGTTCCTTCCAACACGATGGTAGCCATTGTGAACCCGGAAACAGGTGCTGTGTGTCCTAGCAATATGGTTGGCGAGATCTGGGTCTCGTCGGATTGCAATATCAAGGGCATTTATGGCCAAACCGAAGCAGAGCGTCAGGCCAAGTTTGAGGCGACGTTGGCAGGTGCTGATCCACGCATCAAATATATGCGCACAGGCGATCTGGGCTTTTTGTGGAACGTACAACGACGTGTCGACAGGGGCCAGCCAGTGATTGAAGAAGGACAGTGTTTGTTTGTGCTCGGTGCAAAGAGTGAAACGATTGAACGGAACGGATTGATCCATTTCCCATTCGATGTGGAGCTTACCGTCGAGCGTTGTCATCCTGGCATTGTACCTGGAGGATGGTAAAGTCTATCTTACGAGAGAGAGAGAAAAAAAAAAGTATTGGGTTATCTTAATCTCATGAAAATATTTCAAAAATGTAGTATCATTTTCCAAACAGGACAAGAAATTGTTGTGCTAGCAGCTGTCAAGGCAAACAACCACGCACTCTCGTCTGTACCCTTGATCGTCAATTCCATTCTTGAGAGCCACTCGTTCCTTGTCGACACGGTTGCGATTATTCATAGCAACCAGTTGCCACGGACACGATTTGGCGAGAAGCAGCGTAGAAAGGCCATGGCCTCTTTCTTGGAAAAGCAGTTGCCAGTATTGTACGTGAGCCGTATCACGAACCAGCACGAACCGCTGAGTCTGCCCCAATGGACTCAATCGCAGTACGATATCGACACACAATCTGTTATTTCAATGTCGCAGCAGCAGCAACAACCGCAGCCACCACTTTCTGTCAGCGGCCGGTCGATGAGTGGAGGAGATAACAATACAGAGATTGGACGCAGTGATAGTATTCCAAGCCAACTGGAACGACGCGACACTGGCAGCTCTAAGCAATCAGGCACTCGCATTTCGTCTATGCCTACTTCGCCTGCAGTGGCAGGACCACCGCCACAATCACTTTATTAATAATAATCCATTTCCTTTGTCGTCGTCTTCGTCATCGTCGTCTCACACTGGATATACCCCCTCACGGTCCCTCCTACACTACTCCAAATTGTGCTCTTTTCCCCTCGCTCATTATTTTATTACCTTTAATTATGTTCTCTTTCAAAGCCAAAACAGACTTTTTTCTTCTTAGTATACACCACTTACTTCCTGCGTCTCTTTTCCACCTAATTAACCATGTCGCGCATTCATTTTTTTTTTTTGGGTTGCTCCACACACACACACACTCTCTCTCTTTTGAGGCCACAACAATTCCAGTCCCTTTTTTGTTATTACAAACTAATTCAGTATAGAAACCTCTACATTCACTTTTATTTCCAAAACAAAGATGAAGTCTTAGTATCATCACAAAGTCCTTCTGTTCTCTCTCTCTCTCTCTCTCTCTTCACACAATCCCCAATCAAACAAACAAACAGTACTATCACCTTCATCCCCTCCCCTCCCCCATCCTTGTACAGTAACTTTTGGTAAAAAACGAAATAAAATAAAGAAAACCATCGTTCTCTAGATAATCTATTAAAATGCTTGTTTCAGGCAAAATATCCTCGATGCTTTGAAACGGTTTGTTTTCCTCCCAGACGACACAACTAAATAAAGATGAACGTATCACGTACTGTACAAAAGCAGTAGGTATCTCTGTTCATGCTGCTTTCCACACCTTTATTGTATGTCTATCATAGGTCCACCTTTTGGGAGCAAATTATATTAATACTCAATGGTGCCAAAAAGCTCTTTACTCTCAACCAACACTATGGACGATGGGAGTTCCAACGGGGATCGCCACGCAAATTCGTTGGTTCCGGGGAAACATCGAAAGGTTCTCCAAACCATTTCCTGAAGAAGGATGATGTCTGTCAATCATTATAGTACGCTGCTGTCCATAATGTGGTACGTAATTCAGGCTCCCCAGTCTGCATTATAATAGACCTCCATGTAGATACTAATAGGCCATCGCGTACTCACTCACTGTCTAAACAGCATAACATCCAAGATGGGGGGCAAGCTTGAGGAAGATCACGTAAAGTATACTAGATCCAATTAGATGATTCTAAAGATTCCATTCTGTTATTATTACTATTGTAGTAATAGTAGTGCGTGAAAGCATGGAAAATGAAAAATAAGGAAGCCAGCTCCCGAGTGTTATAGATCAAGTACTATTTACAATTATTTTTTCTTCCAGGAACAAGGTGGGGACGGGGGAGGGCCAAACTCAAGGATCGGTCGGTATGCCTGTTGGCCCACGTTGCATGATATGACGTCTAAACAAAATAGACTCGCATATTTTTCGATATTCGGGTTTATATTGCAATTCATCTGTAGTATTTGTTAATGCATAATTCCGCGGAATATATATGCGCTAAGGCGGGGGGTGGGGGGCGCGGGGAACAGGTAACAAACAAAACTTACATCCGGAAATGACCGGTCCGTCGATGTCATAGACACGTTCTATGTAACTCCGTACAACGCCTCCGACAAGTTCAAAGTCGGTTCCCAGTTCAATATCGGAGCGCAGTGACAGTGTCTTGCTGTCGTCGTCGTCAACAACAAAAAGAGTCCTGTTTGGCAAGTGACCGGGTATTCGATCGGTCTTTCCTATATAACATAAAAAAGTTTGGAAGTTGTGAGAGATCTCTTGTCTGTGCCAACAAACAAAACAAACAGACAAACAAAAGAAAGCACACACTTACCAAAAAGAAATGCGTTCCATGCCATGAACCATTTGCGTTCAATCAAGTATGAGTCTTGGTGACTCTGTTGAGACCAAAGCAACCGTCGTTCTATCACCCTGCGTTGTTCAATGGCTCGGATTTTCGATTGTGGATCCGTGGGTAACGTGTCCATCACAGCACTTATGATGCGACGCACCAGATAGCGTTCTCCCATGGGCTTGTCCATGCTTGGAAAGCCCCAAAATCCAACTGTAGCAACAAATGCAAAGTTCTTATTTAAAAAAAAGTGGCCCAGACCACCTGTTCCTAAGTAACGATGGCCCCATGTGAAAATAGCTTTCGTTACCAGGTTTGCCCTTGCCACATGCAAAGCACCACACCTCACACAAATGTAGAGACGTCAACTTGAGCACAAATGCATGGCCCGTCGCATGATAGTGTTCGCGTACATGGCCGGGATTCGCTTCCGGTATAAAAGACGCATCGCCACAGCCGACGAATTGGCAGTCTGGATGTAAGCACATTGCTCCTGGTTTTTGCTGACAATGCAAGCATTTTCCCTTGTTCTCGCCGTCGTTATCATTGGACGACGACGACGACGACGACGACGCTAGGAGAGTGTTCCAAAGCAGCATGGATTTGCACTTTTTCAATACGTGTTGGTCATTGTTGTAAAGTGCACGGTTGTGGATGTGAGGACATGTGTTTGCCAGATCGCCCGAGACATAGAGCTGCCACCAGGTCTGATTTGGATGGAGATAAGCAATACCGTATTGCCGTGCACATAATTCGCGCCAAAAGCGTTCGTCACCTTTGAGCTGAAACAGCGATTTGCATGTCCGGAGCAACCGAAGCGAGTCTCGTGGTGGCACAAAGCGTAGAATGCACCACAGGATCTCGTTGGGAAGATCGAGCAATAACATGGGCCAAGCTTTTCTATCTTGAGCAAGAGAGAGAGAGAGTGTAAAGAGAAAGGGTTGCTTGCTATCATTGGCCCGAGCTGGGGTTCAAACAAAAAAGTGACCCAAGCGCTGCATGAATGTGAGACATTTAGACCTAACAATATCGGAACATATTTTATATGGGCAAGTGAATGAGTGAGTGAGTGAGGGGGGCATATATAGTCAGCTGATTGGGGTGGGGGAGAAAACCAAGCAAGCCTTTTTTTACTATATACAAGAACTATTAACAATTCAGAGAATGAAGTTCCTGGAAATTGATTCTTTGGAACAACTAAACAGTGTTTTTCGGTGGGAAACGCCTGAATGCATACTGAATGGCAGAGTGGAAGCCTATTCTTGTAAGTTTACTCTCTTTCTTCTTCGCGTGTGTGTGGGGGTAGTGGTAGTAGTAGTAGTAGTAGTAGTTGTAGGTAGTAACACTCTATTCAATTCTTCTTTGTTATAAAGGCAAATCGGCGGGTTCCGACAAGAAACTATTCAAGCAACTCGAAAGCCGGTATACGACAATTACAGCGGGTGGGACGACTAGCAACGAGTTGACACCAGGATCAATATCACCAGATACCAATGATTTGTCCATCATTTCACCATTCGGTCGATTGGACGAAGCAGCACCACGAAAAACATTCTTTTATCTCCTGGCGACGTTGAATGCGTCATTTCCTGAACATGACTTTGGCGACGTGCGGCCTGACCAGTTTAGCAAGCAGCCGTCGCTTGACCTCGTTATCAACTCAGTCAACACAACCTTGTTTAACCTCGGAAATGATTTCATTGTCAATCGATATCGGTAATTAATGGGATTGTGGGGGGGGGTGTTTATTAAAAGAAAGATCATTATGACGTTAAAAAGGGTCGTACTACTGTATCCGTGTCTGTCCTCTCTATCTGAACCGAATTTTATAAATATATGTGTAGAATGTGGGATATATTGGATGATCTAGTGCGATTACATGAATGCGACGTGTACAGTTATAATCCGGATATCGACGAGGATCCTATGAATGAGGACGGTTATTTGTATGTTTGATGTTTATATACTCTGTGTGTGTGTGTGTGTAAATTGCGTAGGGTCCGGTATCTAATTTACTCACGTTACGCGGTGCTGTGGGGGTGGATGGGTGGTAACCTGTTGGATTTAAACAGATGGTCGATGAATTATTTCTTCTTTAATCGCAAGCTGAAGCGGATGATCTTTTTCTCGGTCAAGAGCCAAAGGTTAGTTGGGACAATGAAATCGAGAAAAGGACAAAGGGCTAAATGACTGTTGTAGCATTGCAAATATGTCTGCGGACGAAGACGATGAGGTACAAGACGATGAAGACGACGATGATATGGAGGACAATGCTCGGTAAGCTTTGTGTGTGTGTGTGTCTGGAAGGGAGGAGAACAAGTCATATCCAACAGAGTTTGTTGGGGGTGTTTGGTGGCAAACTAATAATGTGAGAAAGAGAGATCGCCGCGAATCACGCTAACCTTACCCTTTTCTCTCCGTTCTCTTTCTCTCTCTCTCTCTCTCTCTCTCTCCCGCGCGGCCCATACACAGACGACGGCGACACGACTACATGGTCATGGGTGACATGGAAGTGTAGCTGATAAGCAACAACAAGACTAGGGAAATAATAATTGCGCCATTATGACATTATCTTTTCCTTTAAGCACTAATGGTGTTAGTGTGTGTGTGTGTGTGTTGCTGTGGATGTTGGGTCTCGGAATTCGCTCCTTGTGTCCTTCCTCTTAGCAGTTTCATAAATAACATTTCTTCTTCTTCTTACTGTGTGTGTTGTGTGTGTGTGTGTGTGTGTGTGTGTGTGTGTGTGTGTGTGTGTGTGTGTGTGTGCAAAAGGGCAACTGGTGGCTCTCGGCTTCAACCCCTGAACGCGCAGCTCTTGTTTATTTTACTTTTTTTTTTTTACCCACCCACACACACTTCTCTGCCCCCCTTTGCCCCACACACACACACACTCATACACACACATACTTGCTAATAAGTAAACTATTGATGTCTGCGTGATGAAAGCAAAATACAGAAAGGATCCCACGCCCACAACTATCCATGCGATCGCTTTCCGCTCTCTCCCCCCCCCCACCCACCCACCCACGCCAGAGAACAGCCCCTTTTTAGGTCGCGCAAGACCAAAACAGATGGCTGGTGCATATTTATAAAAAAAAGAACTGCTGTGCCTTTTTCTTTTCTTTTCTTTTCTACTTTACCTCTACTCCACTACTACTAACGACATACTGAAATAAGAGAGAAAAAGATGCCAGCTCATCGATCACGAAGTAACAGCGCACATGGCGCTATCACCTCCACCGCAACCGCAGCCAGCTTCAGCAGCAACAGCACTAGTAGTAGTAGTAGTAATAGTGATAGTAGTAACAACACGGGTGCGCACAAGCCAAGATTGTTTCAATGCACTGGGTATGGCGACTGTCGTATGGTCTTTACTCGTAGTGAACACTTGGCTCGACATGCTCGGTAAGCACATCATCTTTTATGAGTTGCCCATTCCATCATCGTCATCATCATCATCCGAGAGCCAGTCGCTTATATATCAGTTATTCACATCATGTTCTATTTTTCTGGATTTTAGCAAACATACAGGAGAGGTACAACCTAATGTTCATTCTGCGCCCTCGCATATGCATACATAACACTACACGGCCCCGCCCTACTACTATAGCTTACATTGAGGACTAACAATCCATATATTGCATCATCCATAACAGAAACCGTTCCAATGCATTATGCCGGACTGTAACAAGATGTTTAGCCGATTCGATAACATGATGCAACATACGCAAACACACAGAAACCATCAACAGCATCATCTTCAGCAACAACAACAACAACCTATGCTGCGAAGACGACGTCGTAGTAGTACCTCCAGCACCTCCAGCAGCAGCAGTGATAATACTAGTGTTTCTAGTGTATCTAGTGTAGCGACCTTGTCGGATCATGATCCCGTGACCACCACCACCACCACCACTGCCACTGCCAACAACAGCAACAACAACAACAAAGCCAACATTACCACAAAACGAGAGCAGCCACGACGCTTGTCCATTGCCGATCTTTGTAACCCTTTGATTAACGAAGGTGGTGGTCATCGCAGCTCCATCATCTGTACAACTCGTACGCAACCATCATCATTGTCATTCCCAGCAACAAAGCAGAAACAACCCATAATGCTGGATGACGGTGATGATACAAAGTCAAAGAAGAGCAACAACAGGCCAATGCTGCTGTTGACACCCGATGAAATGGAAGCACTTCAGGCGTTTGGACGTTTGCAAAGAGCGACGACGCCTGACCTTTATGATTCGTTACGCGAACTCGTTTCCGACCGACAACAGCAACAGTGTCCCTGTCTTTGAGAAGAGCACAGACATTCGCCTTAAAAAACCTGCACCACCTCCAATATCGTTTTCTGTACTATATCCTTTTATCTTTTATAAAAAAACAAAAACAAACGAACCCTCACTTTTTATATGACTGCTGTACCATTTCTTCCCTTCTTTGTTTGTTTTGAAATTATTATTATTATTATTAGTATTCTGTTCATAGTTTTCTTCTTCATGTGTTTATATCCCCCCCCCCACACACACACAATCCCCGTCAAATCGCTATGTGAAATATATATATGTATATGATATCATAAACCTGGCTGTGTCAGAAAAAAAAAGTCCCTTGTCAACAAGAAGACGAGCGGATCCGATAGAGGGGCGGAAATGGGGCCGGGGGCCAAAGTGTAAGCAGCAGTACGTAGTAAGTTATAAGCCGGGCGACTCATGTGATATCGACCGGTTCCAAACGGAAACAACTCCGCCAGCCGAAAAGTGTGTTAGCATATGAAGCGACGCGTTTTCCCCAGAACACAAGGGCTTCTTTCTTTCTTTCTTTCTCTTTACACACATTACACTTTTCTTTACTTCAGGTGAGTCATTATATGTAACTTGTCGTTGGTCGGGTGGATGGGGGCAACATTGCTAACGTTATCCTTACTCTCTATTCTCTTTTCACCACACATAAAAGCAAAATGACTCGCAACTTTTTCATTGGTGGCAACTGGAAGATGAACGGCTCGGTGAGCCAAGTCAAGACCCTTGTTGACATGTTGAACGGCACAAGCATTCCTGCTGGCACGGGTAACTTTCTTCTTCTTCTTTTTCTTCCCCCGGCCACCCCGGAAACCTTATAAAACATAACCACACATATTCTTTATCCCACACAACCTTCAAGAAAACTGGTCTTTTTTTTCCTCTTTAACTATTGAACATACACACAAAAATTTAACGTGAAACATTATCCGTTTCTTCTTACAGAGGTCGTTGTTGCTCCTCCCGCCATCTATATTGACCGTGTTCGCCAGACCTTGAAAAAGGAAATTGGCGTTGCTGCCCAGAATTCCTATGTCAAGGCCAGCGGTGCTTACACGGGTGAAATCAGGTAAAGCTTTTCTTTTTTGATCAGTGATGGTTTCGCTAGAAAGATGGTTTTGCTGATGAAACATAAATAGCCCCGAGCAATTGAAGGATATGGGCATTGATTGGGTCGTCCTCGGTCACTCTGAACGCCGCGAATACTTTAAGGAATCTGATGAGGTAAAACAAAACAAAGGTCCTGATTGCTTTAACGAGATGGGGGGTTGGGCGAGGTGATAGATCAGCAAAAAAAAAATGGGAAGTTGAATATACTGAACTCAAAATGTTGGGGAATTAAGTTCGTCGGTGAAAAGACCGCTCATGCCTTGAACGCCGGTGTCAGCGTCATTGCTTGCATTGGTGAAAAGTTGGAGGAGCGTGAGGCCAACGAGACCACGGCCGTCGTCACCCGTCAATTGAAGGCCATTGCCGACCAGATCAAGGACTGGACCAATGTTGTCGTTGCCTACGAGCCTGTTTGGGCCATGTAAGTTCTAAAGAATAAAAAAATGTTGTGTGTTTGTGTGTGTGGGGTTCGTTATCAATCCCATCCGATTATATAGATGCACAATCTAATCTATGTATTACTCTCTCTCTCTCTCTCAATCATTTAAAATTAACTTAGTGGTACTGGCAAGGTCGCTACTCCTGAACAGGCCGAGGAAGTCCATGCTACTCTTCGCAAGTGGCTCGAGGACAACGTCTCCCAGGATGTCGCTAACAAGACCCGCATCATCTATGGTGGTTCCGTCAAGGGCAGCAATGCTGCTGAGTTGGGTAAGTTTTCTCTCTCCGTATACCACTTTAAATGATCTTTAAAATACTGAGAAAGAAAAATGCCCTTCCCCACCTATCTTTTTAAAATTATACAGGCAAGAAGGAAAACATTGACGGTTTCCTTGTCGGTGGCGCTAGCTTGAACGAGGACTTTGTCACCATCTGCACTGCTAAGCAGTAAACCCTTTTTCCCCCATGTAACCTTCTTGCTTTCCCCCCCTCATACATACATACATACACACACACACATCCCAAGGAGTCTCTCTTTGTTTTACAAACCAAAGGTTTCTTGAAAAAAGAAAATAGCCCCTATCAAAACAACTGTACAATAAAAAAGATATGTCTTGCTACATCATATTTCTGGAGGAGGGCGGGAAACCGCGGGGAGAAGGGGTTGGGGTCCGTGTCATGTCCCCCGCTCACGCAAACTTGTTATTTCAAAATTAACATTTTGCTGTCGGTTGCTGCCAGAGCAACCAGTGCATGCATACCATGGCAACCATTGCTACCATGGCAACAAGTAGAAAGATAAGCATATCTTGGGGGGGAAGATCTCCGTTGTTATTATAAAGACAGTTTGACGTTTGGTGGGTTTTTACAGACATACTATTAATAACAAACAGTACTTACACGTACATATTATAACGAAATATAAGGATGGATTTATAAAGATAGGGTGGTGCGATTGTGTTTAAAGAAAGTATAGAGGGCTATGTATACATAAATATATCGAGATACAAAAAAAAGAGGCCGTTGTTGATGCGGGGGAAAGTGTTTAATGAGAGATGAGGGAATGGGGCTAGTAGCCGTCCTTTTTACTGGTGCTACATATATTATAGTTTGCTTGGGCTAATGATGATAATACTCCTTGTCTTCCTCTGCTGGCAGTGGCGCAGCCGGCTCAGTCTCGCCTGCCAACTCTTCCAAAGTCTTGCCCTTTGTTTCCGGAATCAAAAAGGACGAGAAAATACCGGTCAACATGAAAAAGGCGAACAGTTGAAGCAAATGGTTGATCCAGGCATTGGGGCCACCAATATCCTTCAAAAGACCAAAGCCAACTTGGGCGACAATGGCTCCCACCTTGCCAGAAGCTGCAGAGATACCGTGCGCGGTCGAGCGGTAGCGAGTAGGGTAGCATTCACCAGGGACAATAAAGGTAGTGGCATTGGGACCCTAAACAAAAAGAGGAGGGATCTTCTCTGTTATAGAGGAAGTTTCTGGAATACTACTGCTACTTACAAAGTTAAAAAAGATTTGGGTGAGCGTGTACAAGACGATGAACAATGGCACAGAGTAGTCGAGAATGGCGTGATAACCGAAACCAAGGATGATGAAAAAGGCTGTGAGCATGCAGAAGCCCATGATTTGGATGGTCTTGCGGCCAAGGTAGTCCACAGTGAAAACGGTGATCCAATAACCGGGAACTAGAATAAACAAAACAAGGTCATTGTTAGAATTCGCTTTCTATGATAATGAGAGAGACGGAGCAATAAGAAGGGGAAACTTACCAGAGCCAAGCAAGTTAATGATGATATTGCCAACACAAGTCTGGAAGACGGCACTGTATCATGGGCTTCAAATGATTAGAAAACTACCTTGGCCATGTTGCTATAAAAAGACTTACGTGTACGGATCGTCACCACCGGCAAAGCCAATGTTTTGCAAAATGATCGAGTTATTCAAACCAAGACCATACCATGCCACGTCCAGCGCGAACCAAGAGTAAGCGGTACCAAAGAGCATACGAGCGTTTCTGGGCTGGCCAAAGAAATGGCAGAAATCGGACCACGAGGCGGTGGTGATAACAGGCGAGTCAGTACGAGTGACGGCGACATTATCACTATAGTCACCAGCAGCAGCGCCGTATTCAATGAAAGCCTTGGCATCCCGTAGACCCTTTTCGATCTTTTGCTCAACGTCCATGGTGTAGCGAGGGGTCTCGGGGATGGTGAGACGATAGTAGAGGGCTATGCAACCGGGCAAGGCGCCGAGACCGACAACGATGCGCCAGACAAAGTCGAGGTTTTGTGGGTTGGCATGGATCGCGTTCTGGGCCGCAGCGGTGGCGATCAAACCGACGAGACTCGCGGCGACTTGACCAAAGCCTTGCATGGCAAAGACGGCGGCCATCATGGCGCCACGCCGTTTTGTGGTCGCAAACTCAGAGGTAATGACGGAGGATAAAGGGTAGTCGCCACCGATGCCAATGCCGACAATGATGCGCCAAAAGGTAATGATGGCCCAGAAGGAAACAGTGGGGCCGTTGCCGGCCAGTGCTTGGCCTACGGTGCCAATGATCATGATGATGAGTTCGATGCCGTACATGCGCTTACGACCCAGTCGGTCGGCTAGCCATCCAAACAGAAGCTGGCCAACCACTGTGCCGACGGAACAGGAGACTTTGATGGCCATGTCAACATCGTGCGGTGTCTTGTTGCCTTGCTCGCCCCAGTAGACGTAGCCGATCATCGTGGATACTAGGTTGATGGCAAAAATGTCGTAGGCGTCTGTAAAAAAACCGATGCCAGACACTATACATGCGCGGATATGAAACCAGCCAAACTTGGCATCGTCGAACTAGTATATATGCAAATATAAGCATCATGCAGTAGTGTGGTGGTGGTAGCTAGATCATATTGTACCTCTTCCAACGCCATCCGACGGCGCTCCATGATTTCAATACCAGAGTTCACCTTGTAAGTTTCCTCAGAAGTGACCGGGTCGTTGACTGGTTTAGTCATTGTTTTCTGGTAACAAATGAATAGACGCGGGAGAGAGGTATCAATATAAGATAAAAAAGAAAGAGGAGGGAAGAAGAAATCAAACAAAAAAGGCAAAGAGGTCGAGAATAAGTACAGTAGTACATAGGATCATTTATGTGTTGATAGTAAAAGTAGAGAGGATCAGCGCGTGAGTTTGAAACCAAATGTCTTTGATGGCCCAAAAGCCTGTCGTTAACTCCATGTGCCCTCTCCACGACCTTCTTTTTTCCAATTTCGTCAAAAAATTTAAAATGCCCTCCAGCAGAAACCTCCCCACAGCCAATAGCTGCATCCAATATCGTCCACGCCCCATCTTGCTCTGACAACAAAAACGGTAAATAAGTCCTATTACCGTAATTTCCTTATTATTGTGTAAAAAAAACAAATTAAGATTTAAAAAGTTATCCCGAACGCTATCTCGTCCAATGCAGCCATGTCACCCAAACATGAAAAAAAACAATTGGTGGTGGTATATGGTAATACAGCTTTTTGTGATGCGACCAGAGAGTATGGTAGATTGAAGATTGTCTGTGTCGTCTCTCTCTCTCCCAGAATCAGCCATTGGTTTTGTTACACCAAAGAAATTCTTCGCAGCATCATGTGTTACTATAACACACACACACACACTCTCTCTCTCTCTATCTCTCTCGATCACCATCATCGTCATCATCCTATCGTGTATATTAGCAGTAAAAAAGAAATGAAGGGATGTCAGAGGAGGAGGAGAGTCAGCAGATATCATCTTAATGTATGTCCCGGCTAAAAAAATTGCTGATATCATATGATGCACTTTATAAATTGACAGCAAACTGTAAGTTTGACTTTCTTATATTTGCAGGGTGATTTACAACGGAAAGGGGGGTATTCTTTAGATCTTTTAAGCGTAGTAGCAGCAGTATCGCCGGTTGATGCGGTTTTAGTTTATAGATAAATATCACTTTTTTCCCTCCACGTGGACGGGAAAAAGCTTAACGTCAAAAGTGATGGGCGGCTCTTACTTGTTCACATGGGTATGTGTGGGGGAAGGAATGATTGTTTCATGAACCTGCAAGTCTGCGCCCTTGCCTGTTGAGGCTATTATAGTTCATTGACTGCGCCGCACAATAAAAGAGGTAAGTCTAACATAGAGTTAATACTTGAGGTTGGTTTTAAGAAAATTTGATATTGGATATTTCTTTTTGAGACTGTCTGGTCCTCGAGCGAAAAAACAACAACAGCAGCGCCTGTTTCCTTGATACCATTCGTTTTTTGAGTGTGTGCATACCGACGCTAAGAACGATTGTCCACATATCCCACAGCAAATATGTTGTTCAAGCATCGCTGTTTTTTTAAAGTCCTGCAAAAGATGGACAAAGGTCACAGCAAGCCCGTTGTAATATGCCGCGTCGTCTATTCAAATACAAAAGATTGTGTAATAGTTGTTTAGAAGGTATAGAACGCAGCTTTTGTTCAATTAGATGCTTTGATATGAGCTTGTTGGGATGGCGAACCATTGTCTTTGTACATCATCTTTTTAACATCACAAGTGTAAACTATATCACCCCCCCAAAGAGAGTCACTGTTTACGTTCTTCAGACATCAAGACATTTATTGTCCAACTGCTTTCAAGAGTCTTACTGGTGGCCGTTCCATCGATGTCGCCACACTGTTTTTCCCTCCACTATGACTACTGCTATGTGTTTCGTTGTCGGTGCTACGCTCGGCAAGATCGTGTCATTTCTTGTCTCGTCGTATGATGCGGGGCAATAATGGCTCATATGAGCACATACACGACAAGCAACATCTGATTAGAAATGTTTGTCATCATCTACTTTAAATACACTACTGTAGATAACACCATGATGTCAAAAGTCATAGATTGTAGACTTGACGTTTGGTATATATTTGACTGTACATCAAGATGTTATTTGCAGCAGTTTGATCAGATCATCCATGGCATACAGCAACTGTGGTTTGATCAATGTGCAACTCTATCCAGAGCGATGGATCTTGTTCATCTCGCTTTCTCTCAGCCAAAAACGGCAAACGAATTGTACTACAGTACAAGGCTGCATGGCCAGTGACAAATTGTGAAAATAAGGGAATTAAAAGCATGGATGGGGGTTGTTGTTGAATACATTTAGATGGCTGGGCAAAATACAGATATCATTGCAAGAGAGTCGCTAAAGGCGAATTATAGTGATGCTTCTGGAAATGAGTGGCACAGCCATACTCATTTATGATGCAGCTTGAGAACGTGTGCTTTTGATATTAAAACCGTGAACCAGATATGCCAATAGCGGAAAACCCAGGTGTAAAACCACCAAAAAGTGTGTGTGCGTTTCGTCCATTTAAAAGACCAAATGCTTTTCGGACATCATGTCTTTTGCCAAAGATGCCCATGCCCACAAGCTCGAGTATTCCTATTGCATTTACTGTACTTTCCTAGGCAAGGTCTTATACCTTTTTTCTTCGTTCTCTTCTTCTTAATGATCTTATTATGTGTAGGCTGACGACTGATATGATATGACATTAGCTAGAACAATACATTTGTTCGGGCAGCCGTAATACAACACATCATCTTGTGGCATGTCCCTATTATTTATTGAATTAGTTTGGTGCACATCCGTACTGTTGTCTGTACCATTAGAGATGTACTGCTACTACTTTCATACTCCATATCAAAGTAAAAAGAGCCTACCGGCGTGCCCGCGGCCTTGACCATCATAAAATACGTGATAGTACGAAGCAAAATGTATCATTCTTCTTTTTTCGAGATGCTGATATTTTCCAGGTTTTTTTGATAGATGCAACCGCCGAAAAGATGCTCGAGTCTTTATTGTCTACAATCAGACCTTCGGGTCGCTGGGATCTACAATTTTACTTTGAAGGAAGACTATCATAATTCTTTAGATACTCGGTTTGGGATATTCTCCCAAGAGAAGAAGCAAAGTACCATATTGCAGATGTACATCATAGTATCTACTCGCTGTCCTATCGGACTGTTGCAGATAGCAGCCAGTGGCAGCAGTACTGAGGGTTGTTATGGTCCGAACTACATAGTGGTGATTCCTTTCTATATTTAAGACATGACGCATTTCTCTCAATACGTGTCTTGTACTAGTAGCGCCTTGAATTTGGCAAGTGTCAAAGTTCCGGTTAAACCTAAAAAAAGAGGGTCTTTGCTGCTGGCACAGTGTTCGCTTCCGATTGGTTGCCGATAATTTTGCCCTCTTTCAACGCGGGGAGTGGGGAGATACGCCCTTTCCGCTGCTTCTTGCTCATTACTGATTTTCATGGCCGTCAAGTCCACCAGGCAATTCTCAAAGCGAAGGCCGCAATCGCCTTTGGTTCAGCAACAGCAACTGCCTGGTGTAGGAACGGCGCCCTTGGCGACAACAGCGGCAGTGCCATCCATTGCACCCGGTAAAACACACACACTTTTGGGTCGAGAAACGCCGTAAAAGGGACGTGAATCATCCTCATCAAAATTTAATGTTATAGTTGCCATCCAAAGCTCACGAGCCCCTCTACGTGCAGCTCGCGCAGAGGTTTCCCAAGAGGTAAAAACATGAACGCAGCTTTGTATTTCTTGGTGTGTGTGCCCAATAAAGTAAAGAATTGACAGAGTATTTATAACATACACGCACATATAGCCTGAAAAAACACTTGATCAACATGAACACGTACACAACGATCATCGTCATGACCACCCACACGCTCACGACCACACCCACGCTCACGACCACGACCACGCACACGCCCATGATCACGTCCACGATTCTTTTGCGCAACCGGCTGTTCCTTATCTTGATCAACATTATGAGCAGCATAGTCACGATCACCACCATACCCCTGGATACACTCATATTCCACATACTACTACAACTGCACATGGACACGACCATAGCCATGGACACGACCACAGCCATCATCACCACGATCAAGGACATGACCACCACGATCACGACCATCATCATCATCATCATAACCATCCGCACGTCCACGTACCTCCTCTCCCATCCTGGTCTGAGATCTTTGCAAACTTGGCACCGATGCAAAAAACCATCTTTACGTGGTTCTTGATTCACATTACAATTGGCGCGTTGGTCTGGTGGGCAGGCACATCCAGAGATAGTTTGGGTAAGTTACTGCAGAGGACTTCTTGGAAACCTCCTGTCTCTCTTTCCGTGTGTATTATAATATATCGGGCGAGGGCAAGAGAAGAAAAAAGAAAGCTCAAAATCTGACTTGATGTCTCATTTGTTCTTTGAATAGCAATTGTTGGATTTGCGTACCTTGTCATTTTTGATGCCTTGGGTGTTCTCAATCTGTTTATTTCCGATATTGTGCGAACAAACCCGGCGTTCCTGGCAATCAACACAAAGCGGCCTTTTGCGTAAGCCTCTTTAATATTCTGTGCCATCACGTATAAAATTGAATGTCGGCATATGTGATAAAAGAAAGCTGATTTTCATGTGAATCGTCATCGATGTATATAGCGCACGTCGATATGAAATTGTATTTGCAATGGCAACAACCGTGTATTTACTGTTTGCGACGATGTATACCACCAAAGAATCGCTCGAGCACATGTTGCTAGAGAAAAGCAGCACATCGTCGTCGGAAGATCACCACTATGAAGCACATTTGGGTTTCGGTGGATTTTTGATTATGTGTATTGCCATGGGCGCCACAGTTCTATCCAGTGTTAGCTTAAGAAATCATGAAAACTTTGTTCGCTGTAAGTGGATCAAGGGAGTAAGTTGGGGATTGCAAAAAAAAAAGGCAAGGAAAGAGTTTTTTCGGGATATAAGCACGTCATGTGTGTGTGTGGAAGCGCGGGTATATTGATTATTATGCAAACAACACGCAAACGCGTTTAGATTTACGACGATCCCCACCTACTGTCCACGGATTTTCTTACAATGTGCTGAATCGGGCACGCGGTAACGCGATCAAGATTGTACTGTCAAACATCTATTCGTTCTCTATTGTGTCGTGCGGCTTTGGAGTCATGGTTTTGTACATGTTTGGTGTCGCGACGCCGTTTATGGACAAGTTTGTTGCTTTTGGCGAATCTGCAGTGATGTTATATCTGGGCGGACCCACAGCTGCTGCGCTGGCCAAGTTGTTGTTACAAACTACGCCAGATGTAGCTCGTTCAGGCATTGAAAGTCGACTCTTAGAGGTACTTTTGAGCAATACTCACCCCGCCGGGCGGACAGGAGAATACTAAGAATATACTGTATATAGATTCGACAGAACCCAAGTGTGCTGGCCATGGATCGTGTACATTTTTGGCAAAACACGTATGGCAAGTGTGTAGGCACGTTAGAGATTCAAGTGAAACCGGATGCGGATGAACAGGCTGTTTTGCAATTTGTATATCAAAAGTTGGAAGGATTGACAAGCGTGGATGCAACCGAGGTGGATGGTGGTCATTCTGGAAGCGAGTTGACCGTCAGTATCATTCAATAGTAAATTCGGATCATGTTCTTTCTTTTACGCTGTTAACTACCCGCGAAAGAAGCCCAAAAAAAGTCAGCTTAATGTATGATAGAGAATTCTATATATAAACAAACATCAGAAGAAGATTCTGTTTATTATGTAAGATGTTGTTCTCGTTTGGAGAGCTATTGGAACTGTTGCTACTATCGCTACTAGTATACGTCGTTTTGTAACGCTACTGAGCTCTTATGTAAGCTGATCGAATGATCACGTGCTATCATCCTTTGTATTCATTAATGAACAAAGATTAGCCAGTGGAGTAGGGTATTAAAGAGGTAGAGAGAGGAATACATACACCCAGAATACATACACCCAGTTATATACGATCATGTAAATCGTTGCCAGCCATAATAAAAACAATGGAGGTCACTGCTGAATTTTTGTGATTCTGTAAGCACATCTCGTTTGATGACCCACAGCAATTATGGCCGAATGGGATACTTTTGCTATCGGGGCGTTGTGGAGTCGATAAGTGCTATTAGTCTTTAGATGGCTGGCAGCTTGCTGTGTGGATGTTGGAGGAGGCTCGATAATGGCACATTTATCAGGACGTCATTGATATTAAAGATCGGTGGGATGTTTTTTTATTCAAACTTGAAGAATGCGGGTCATATCGACTCGCGACCCTACCAGTGCCACATCGGCCGCATAGAGTACAGCCGCGATAATGGTGCAAAATGTATTTGGTCGCGCTAAACTAGGCGACTCTTTTCGCCATTTGGAAACGTTGTTGTGCCGCTGATTCAGTGACCCTCGTAGATGGTGATGTTCGAGATTGAAGAGGATGGTAACATCGGTTATGTGGATACGTGGGCTTTCCTATGCTGTATCTCCTTTTGTTTGTCCTTTCTGTCTATGTCTACAGTGGTTCCCCGTTTAATTTCAACTCAAAGGGGGTCTCTGTATGTAGTGTTGAAAATACTGAGGATTGACACAAAACAAGGGTGTTATATGCTTAAAGGGGTATAGAAAAAGTTGAAAAAACTGAGGCTTTATAGTATGGAGAGTGAAATTAAACGGGAAACCACTGTATGATACAGTATATCTACGCTTGTGTATGCCTTTCTATCCTTCTGATTACAGTATTAGATTTTTCTGTACATATGCTACTTTTTTATTCTTCTTTATGCTTTTTTTCCCTTTTCTCGCAATGCCTGTCTCTTTAGTTACAGTGGTTCCCCAGTTAATTTCAACCTCGAAGGGGGTCTTTAAAATGTTGAAACTACTGAGGGTTGACACGAAACGAGGGTGACTCAAGCAGTGTTTAATGCTTAAAGGGGGTATAGAAAAAAGCTGAAATAACTGAGGGTTTATCTTATTGAGAGTGAAGTCTAAATAACCCACTTGAAACTATTGCGTTTTCAACTGTAGAATCCCTAAATCTCAATGTTTACATCTGATACTCAGACCAAAACAGTGTTTTTCATAAAAACACACACGATAATAGACGGAAACCGCCTATTTTTTTTGAACACTTTCGTTTTTGAGAAAGTATAAGATCAACAGAATTCAGTTGAATAGGTCTATTAAAAGCAAACATATCACCGTATAAGATACACAGACGTGCAAAGTGGCTTATAATACACTATCAAGGAGTCCAAGAGTTGACAAACACAGCGACATTCAAGCTGACAGTGACTGGGAGAGTCAAGAAGCGTACTTTTTTCAAGATGTACAAAGCTGGAATCCAATGAGCACTTACAGGTGTATAATCGAGTCTCTAGGAAAGGATGAAGAGGCAACAGAAGTAACCGAGCCTGGTCCCATGGTTGGAGACTTCTAGTGCTGCTTCTGTTGAAGGTTTAGGGGTGACTAACATAAGAACTGTCATCACCGAAAAATAGGACGTTTGCCTGGCGGGTAGGCTCGAACAAGAGGCCAACGCAGCCAACGAGAAGAAGAGAAGGACCCACGCCAAATGGCGATGGTGATGGGAGGGAAAACATGTAGACATTATATACATTGATTTTCAGATATGATGCCATACTGTAACATTCTATGATACACACTGAATATCACGACTACTAAGCTCTACATTATATACCGATGATGAGAACATACAAAGTACCATTACTGTACCAAAGCTGATTTGTTTTCTACTACACGACACTACTGCAGTGACTACAGTAGCTCTGTATCAAGCTATATAGCAACATCAAAATTTAAGTAGTAGGCACTTTTGTTTATTTTCGTGTTAAAAGAAGGTTTTTCAGATACATACAGTGGTTCCCCGTTTAATTTCAACTCCAAAGGGGGTCTATAAAGTGTTGAAACTACTGAGGGTTGACACAAAGCGAGCGTGATTCAAGCAGTGTTCTATGTTTAAAGGGGGTATAGAGAAAGGTTAAAATAAGTGAGGGTTTATCTTATTGAGAGTGAAATTAAACGGGGAACCACTGTAGAGATTCATGAACTGCCTAATTTCCATCTTCGCACGGGGCGACGGTATGCCATAGTATAGAAGCTATCATGTTCTGCGATTGCGTGTCCATAGCGTGTTTACAGGCACAAAAATATTGTCTACGGGGAACATCAAACACTGTTGATCATCAAGCCTAGTCTGCTATGGGCAGGCGGATCAGTCTCTGCCATCAATATTTCAGAAAAGAGCTACGTTTCGACGTCGTTTACCGTCCAAATCCTTGCTTCGTGTTTTGCACTTGCACATGACAGCCACGCATTTCTTTTAAAAAGCTGTCTTTTATTTTGCGATGTACATAGTGGATACGGTTGATACCAACATTAAGCGCCGCCATGTTACACTCGCACTACGTGCTCTCTCTTGCACTGAAGTGCTGAGCAGAAAACGTATGCGTCGTACAATGGCAAGGATGCTATTTGACAATCCAAATTTTATGTAGGCATATGAAAGTTTAAATTTTATTGATAATAGTAGTATTATTAATAACGGTAAGCAATGTAGGGAAAAAAAGGTGAGAGGAAACAATAGCTGATGGCTTAACTAGCATACTAGGAGTGCGTACATATACAATTATCCAAGTGGTTTATTTGAAGTTATCAGGGTTTGATAGTTCCTGGTAAGCCGCCGCCTGCATTCGACCAAACGAACCTCCTCCGCCTTGATTATCTGCGTCGGAGGGTAGGAAGACGATACGCGTTCCTGAGCTCTTTGATAGGGTCTGCATTGTTTCGAGATAGCGAATCTGCATAGCTGCAGGCGTGCTCAAAATATCAGCAGCAGCACGCATTAGCTTAGCGGAGTCGACTTCAGCACGGGCGCTGATGACTTTAGCATTGCCAATGCGCTTGGCTTGTGCAGCAGCAGAGACTGACTCTTGTAGTTCTTCAGAAAGCTGAAGATCTTTGATCAGGATGGACTCGATCTATTTCACGTGAATGCGGTGGTTATCCAGATGAGCTTATATGTATGTAGAGCACAATCACAAGACGTGTTTTAGAGAAGCATCTTTTACCTTGACACCCCATTGTTTCGCAACAGGTTTGGTCACGTCTTGGATCTCTTTGGCAATGGCCTCTCTGTTCTCAATACAGTCTTGCAATGTTTTAGAGCCAAGGATATGGCGAAGCGTTGTTTGCGTGCTATGTCATGAAAAAGGAGTGAGTACAAGGTCGAACAGGACGAGACCACTTGCTATTCCAAAATGGTGGTGTATCATTTATGCATACCGCTCTGTAAGTGCCTTTCGTACGCTGCGAACGCCAAATTCTGCACGGAACGGGTTTTCGATATGCCAATACACCACGCTGTCAATTCGCACATTGACATTGTCCTTGGTCATGATGATTTGCTTTGGGATTTCGATAATTTGCATCTTGATATCAATATGATGCACCGACTCAGTCAGTGGATTCACCTGTAGTTCATCACACGAAAGAAACACGGCGTCAGTATTAAGCCAGCAATCCAGAAGCTTTTTCTTCTCAGGATATACACACCTTTACTAGACCGGGATTGACACACTTGTAAAACTTGCCAAAGCGTGTTACTAGACCAACATGACCTTGATTGACTTCCTTGAACGGGTTTGGAAAGCAGCATAAGCAAGGAACCTGTGAAACATATACACACGGACATTAGAGTTTAATTAGTCAGTTTTTTGGTGCATCTTTATCAACTCGTCAACTGGACGTGTTTGTGTTCCTAAAGTACCGACCATGCCTAAACCACCACAAATCGAACCGAGACAATTCATCATAGTGCCATACCATCCCTATTAAGAAGCATATTAGTGTCAACTCATGATACTTGAAGCTGCTGTAAGACCACAGAAAAAAGGGTGCGACGTACAATGTTATGGAAACCGGGATCGGCTTCAAAGGAATAATCAGTCTGAGGAGGCCGCTTGATTGAGTTTCGTTGAAGTGGTACTTCGTCACTGTGTGCTTGCATACTACTGCTCATGACAATAATAGGGAGTCAAAAGATAAAAAAGAAAAGCGTAAACGTTTGAGGTGGAACTTGGAAAAAAGAAAAGTAAGACAAAGAAGAGAAAAAGTAGACAAGTTTTCGCGATGGCCTGTGATATTGCATGATTTGATGAGAAGCAAAAAAAAAAAAGGCTGAGCAGAGGCGATGACGCTGCTGGTGCTGAGCAAAAGGCAGCTGAGCACGCTTGTGCCACGTCGCACGACAACACCATCCTCTTTTTTTCCTGCATAACTTTCTTTTGGTCTTTCTTTTCTCTTCTTTCTTCACAGTTTCTTCTTTGATCTTTTTTTTTTCTTCATAAAAAACTTTTAACAATGGAGCATACGATGGCCGAATCATCATCTCACAATAAGCCCTCTTATCCTCCATACAAGGATGACGAGTATGAGGGTCCTACCGGTATCAGCATGCAAGACGTCGAGCAGACTTTTGCACAAGACTTTGGTCTTGATGATATTCATCATGTATGTGTTTTGGCTTGTATTTGCGAACAGTGATGGAAACGTTCTCAACCGCATACATGCACTACACAATATAGGGTTTTTATGGTAGCATGATGACTTGTATTGGCAGCGTCTTGGGCTTCTTTGGTTCGGTAAGTGTCGTTGCGAGTGTCCGACTATACACACCTTACCAATTCAGGACTGACTAATATTGGCACGTCTCTTTGGGCAAATCAATACAGATTCCTTTGCCGTGTTGTGTATGTTTTCCCAACCCGTACAAGCGCGTCCACCAAGGTGACGAGCACATTTTCTTGTTACTCTCGCTTTCTCTGAACAGTATAGCTCATCAGAATATATCTGCTGATATTAATAGGTAGTGCTGGTTTGATTACGCGCTTTGGTAAATGCTACAAAGTCGTCGATGCAGGTTTAGTCCAGGTAAAAATCTTTGTACGACTTGTTATCTGATATACGTAAATTGACATGCACCGCACAAACTCTTCTTTTTTCTGCATCAGATCAATCCGGTTACAGAAGGCATCAAGAGGATCGATATTACCATCCAGATCACGGATATCCCATCCCAAGAAGTCATGACTAAGGTAAATATCCTTTACCTTAGTCTTATATACTTCACGCGTCAAACAAGGAATAGCTTCAATTTTTTTTTTCATGATGGATAGGATAACGTCAGCATTACTATCGAATCTGTCTTGTATTGGCGAGTAGTGGCTCCCTATGATGCGGAATACCTCGTCGAAGACATCATGACCGCACTTGTTGAAAGGTATATATGAAAGATATGTTGCTCTGCCTTCTGTAAATAAAGTATTTGCGTATGCCTAGCTGTCTCCTTTTAACGTTCAACAAATTACATAGAGCACGAACTGTGTTGCGTAACGTCTGTGGTCAGCATTCCCTTCAAGATCTTATTGAGAACCGTGATGCCATTTCGCGCGAGATTCAAACGGCTATCAATCCTGCAGCTAAAAAATGGGGTGTCGAGGTATAACACGCACACACACAGACAACTTTACGAATGTGATGGCTGTATAATAGCTTGTTCACTTGAATTTTTATGCAGATTGAAGCTACGCTGGTCAAGGATATCGGCATCTCTACGCAACTCCAAAAGTCACTGTCATCTGCAGCTACGGCAAAACGCCTCGGTGAATCGCGTGTGATTGCTTCGCAAGCCGAAGTGGAAGCTGCCAAGTTGATGCGTGAAGCAGCTGATATCTTGAGCACACCTGCTGCTATGCAGATCCGTTATTTAGAGACGTTGACATCCATGGGTCGTCATGGTCAAGGTCCAAAAACAATTTTCATGCCAATGCCGGGCTCTGGCGGACCGAAATCCTTGGGTTTTATGGATGATCCCTCTTCTTCTTCGTCCAAGCAGTAGTCATGTTGATAATGAAAAAAAGTGGAGCTATTTGCACCATAACATATCAAGTAGCCCCTTCCTTCTCTCTTCCTTACTTCCCTCACTACCACTCACACAATCATTTGTCCAGCTCCCCAGATAATCCTTGTAACGAAATTGCTTTCCTTCATAATTTTTTATCCTTCCTCAATCTATTTACGTTTTTATTGCGCTGGTATAATTCTTTTCAATAATTCATAATAAATAAAGTTATCCTTTCCTAGGATGACGAAGATGCAGTCGTTGGTTCACTTGAGGATGACGACGATGACGAAGAACTAGGTCCAGTTGCTGTTGCTGCTGTGTTTTTACCACTGCTGCCATCCTGCTTCTCGACCAGTCGTTTACTGCTTGATTGTTCTCGAAGCGCATGCTCAGCTGGAGAAATGGTGTGGTATCTGTTGTTGTTGCTCTCATAATGATATTGCTCTTGGTGATTTCCGGACTTGTTGTTGGTTGGAGTAACAGCAGTATTAGTAGTGGTAGGCATCGAAGATTTAACACGGCCGACACTGGTATCAATAGGTGGTAGGATAGGTTTTGCAGAGCGAGGAGAAGGAGTGGAAGATACAATGCAATCTCGATCAACTTCTGTTTTGATTATCGTGGGTGCTGCTGTCGTTGCCGTCGTTCGAGCACGCTTACTAGTGTTTCCGCTATTACTGTTGCCATTGCTATGGGTACGATCGATGTGTGAATCGACATGTGCGCTGTTGCTGCCGTTGCTGTTGCTGCTGTTCGTGTTATTGGTGCCACGTTGAATTTTGGCTTTAAGTGCCTCCATAACCTGGACATGTGTCAGGCTGCTAGTATTGCCACTCTCTCCACCGCCACCACCACCCAAATCATTCACTGAATTACGGCTTCTTTTTCTGACCGTCTTGTCGTCACCATTTAGCGCCCCTCCTGGCGAGATTGGAGTTGCTGGCTGTTGGCTCGGATACAATCGATTATTTCGCCGGTAAGCGTGCGGATCCGATGGCGGGCATAGTGGATGTGCTGAGTGGGGATACGCTTCTGTGTGCCCAAACGACGAGCTACTGGTAATCCGTGCAAGCACCTGCTGTTGCACTGGTGCGAGTCCGTTGTATTGTGAGCTTGAAATAGGAGGAAGCGTTGTGTGGGGCCCTGCTGGTGTAGGCGTATTGGTAGTTGTTGCATGCGTCGTTACTGAATTGCCCATGCCCAATGGTGGTGGTAGGTGCGTTGGAGGTGGTGCTGGTGTTATATATTCTGGCGTTGTATGTTGCTTGTCATAGTATCGAATTGTAGCTTTGCCATGTTCCCGCATGAGCTCCAGGTCTAATTCTCGTAAATGAATGCGTGCTTGCTCGATTTTTAAAGTGTCCTGTGCTGCTATTTTCTAGTTAAAAATAGTAGAATGATTAGGATCTTTAGACAAACTACTGTGTATGTGTATAAAAAAACTTTCAACGCTCCCTTAATTACTTACCTTGTCCTCCTCAAGTTTTGCCTTCAAGACATGTTGCAGTAAATCGTGCTCATCTCGGTAGCGATCGAGTAAGTGTCGTAGACTGATGTCCATTTTATCGCTTTACAGAAGGGAATTTCAATTCGGGACTTTGGTAGCATAATACACCTATATAAAGTTTCTGGTCCAGCCAATGAAACTACACCTAATTACTATTGTATTTACTATTTATTACATGTCAACTTTATACATTGGCTGGTCAAGTTTTTGGAAACGCTTTCATGGTTCCTTGTTAGCGCACGCGAGACTGAAATATCGACAAGATCCTCTACTGATGTAATAGTAACTTTAGTTGGATTCCAGTTGCTATAGAATTGACCTATTTGTTTACAAACTACATCAACTAATTATCTAACTCTCTATGTCCGATATAATACAGGTTCGTTTTTTTTTGTAGGTAGAAGCAAGCATTCCAGGCATACCATCGGATACTGTCAGTAAACCACTTGTAGCTATAATTGATTGCGGTTTGTGTTTACATTTAGAAACGAGTGTATTGTAGTCGTGAGACTCTCTGCAGTCGTAAAAAAGCTGTTAATCAAAGTGGTCGGTATAACTACATCCAACACGCTTATATTAATTCGTTTTCTTGGGCACAAATTTAGTATACGCGCCAATGTGTTCTCTATGCTGTGATCAAGGAAGTGTTTGATTGCCGCTCTTTCCTCCCATCCATCCCGAACTTCCCGTTGGCACCCATTTCCGCACAAACATCCGCTCATACAACAACTCCCTCAAGAGCTTTAACTCGCTTGGTGTCCAAGCTGGCCAACTCTAGAAAATTCCATGATTTGCGCAACTTCCCTGATTTGCCTACATCGTTTGAGAATATGGGCCCTAGTAATATTTCTGGGGAAGAACCCAATATTTTTTTTTCTAAAAAAAGAGACTTGATAAGCTATTTGGGAGCAGCATGAAATGAAATACGTTTATTGTTGAGTGGTATCGATGACGGTAAAAGTATATAGTGGTGTAGATAACAAGATTATAAATATAATATGATATGTATATAGTTCCAAGGGTGTGTAGCTTAGTCTTTAGGATCCCTGTAATACTTGGCTTTTACTGCGCGCTCGTTTCTTGGGGATTTGTACATTAACTGTAAACAGTGGTTGTGATGGTGTAGACAATGGTGATGGCGCCAGAGTAATTCTTCTAGGACTATTGCGACTAAAACCTAATGGTGATGCACCGAGAGAGTTTGGTGTTGATGATGAGATAGTTGTTGCTACTGATGACGGGTCAGCTACTGCTATTGATAATGGTAACGAGTTTTGCAGATCTTCTTGTACTATGGATTGGAGGGCAAATGGAGGTGGTGACGGTGTGCTAGCAGATAATGCGGAATATCCTCTGCTTGGTGACATCAATTCTGCGTTCATCGTTTCACAAATGCCATCGCTAATTGCTTTGCTAGCGCGTGTCAATCGTCTCTCATTCCATCGCTCGTAATGCATTTTTAGATGATCTGGTGTCTTGTAAAATACTGTTACTCCATCTACCGGCTTGGATGTGGATGCGTTCCAAAGCTTTGCCAATCTGGTCCAGTCTGATGCGCCAATAGTTCTTTGAGCTGGTCCATGGATAATTTATTGAAACTTTTCGAATTCCTGCTTCGTGTGGACAGGGGTAACAGCATACTTTGTTCCTTGTTTTTGACAAGAAAGATGTAGCGCTTACTCAAAGGATTGGCCGTAGAATCAGGCGGTAAGAAGATGTTGATACTAATGTTGAGAGAGTATGGAGCGTATTCATTTGGTCGCGATGCTCTTCGTTGTTTCGTTCTTCTGCTGAAGACATGTCTATCCCAGATGTGCGAGCAACGTCGGGTGCCAATTCTGCAATACCAAATGTCTCGCTGCACTCTTTCAGCTCCAAGCCTTGGACATGGGCACCCGCTTGCTTCTCAATAGCACCACCAGTACCGAAAATCAAGCTTCATTTGTAGGTATACCAATGCTTCGATCAACCATGGAGCAGGATACAGAAAGCGTGTTGTTCTTCTTCTCTTCATTTCTTACGATGAATCAACATACGATACGATAAACACCAAAGAGTATAGACTATCATATTTTGGACGACAACGACACAGCCACTACTCCTAATGAGAGCAATTTGATGCACCCTTGGTAGCATTAACAAAATCCAAAAAGTAAGCTATTTTACATTGACACGTACGCTCACTGACCTGAACACGTCTATTCTGTCTGCTATGATAGACTTTTGTGGGGATAAACTAATAGACGGATCGCAGACATGCCGGATATTGAATATTTCCAAGATGAAGAAGATGAAAAAGGTGGAGTTTGGATGCCATGATGATGGATGTTATCTTCCGAGTGGAAGGAGTTATTTTCGCCTTAAACAGTGTGTTCCTTGAAGCAGTGCCACCTTCGTGTGTTGAAATTGATTTTTGACAGGTGATAATTTGGTAAACCCAGGTATTTGGATCGAAAGGAAGTGTCGACTAATTACGAGAATAGAAGATTGTGAATACAACGGCTGGTTCTGATTATTCTCATTGTGATCGGTGTTTGAGGGATTATTGATATTGATATGGTAGTGATTATGTATTGTCTATATCAGCTCACCAGTGTGCGTTGTTTTCTCTAATCGCATTATAGTAATTAATAAGACGGTGAGAAGTGGGATGAGTTTTCCGTATCGATTTTAGAAAGTCGTGTTGTTTACTACACACAGCTATCGTTTCTGTGTTATGTATATCCACTAAGAGAAACCTTGTTACATGCTGCATCATGATAGTGCTATAATGCATATCTATATCTTTTTCATGCCGCTCTACGGACGATAGTATGCATGCATAGTTAATGTCTTGCTGCTGGTTGATGAGTTGCGCTTTTAGCGAGAGACTACTATTGTACCGTGCTACGAGTCATCACTAGATAAATGGAAACGGATAAAATCCTACATATCAGAAACCACACTGGTAATACATAATGCTATACAGTATGCAGACTGCGTGTGAACAATGATAATGTTATCTTGCTGCAATTTCATAATGATGCACCCGATAGGTTCTCCTACTAAATGTTCATACGCGCGAACATTTTCTGCGTCATCTAACAACAGCAACTTTAATACAAGTTGGGTTGAAAGAAAAAAGTATTGTGTACATGTGTCGTTTAGCCATTTTAACGTCCAGTTTGACAGAAACAACAGCCTGCACAACTTTGACAACAATGTCAGTACCGTATGGATCGGGTGCTAGTGAACTCACTGTAATGGTGCGTGTTGTACGCCGGAACGAAAGAAGAAAAAAGACTAAACTGCTGGCATTTATTACTATAAGAAGCTACATAGAAAAGCGTGCGTGTGGTGTGGCAGCAAAAAATCAGGTATATACGTGCCTGGATTCAAAATGTGCATTATCACCAACTTCGTGCCCTAGGTTTATTTACTGAGAACACTGTGGTAGAGTTAAAAATCCGTCCTGCTACATTACATATAATATTACAACTACGTCTATAGTGTTAGCAGCAGCAGCAGCAGCAGCAGCGGATGGCATCACGGTATCATATGCTACTAACCACACATTTATATGACCAAACGATTCCCCAAACATCATAATCCACTGTTGGGAAAACTCCATTGAAATCCAGGAATTATGATTATTTCTGTTAAGCGACGATCCCTATTGGAGGGACAGATAGTCATTTCGGCGCTCATTATCAGCTATCGCCCACGGTATGCAATGCCGTTGAAAGCGATCCATAGACTAAGTCCTTCTTGACCTATTGGTAAAGGTGACATGAGCTTCGTGAACAGTTCCGTACATTGACCGGATCAGTGGCTCAAGGCCAAAAACGTAGCCTTGGAGCGTTTATTATACGGGAAATCCTACATGGTTTAAAGCAAACGCATGTAGTCCAAGAGCAAACACACATTACTATCCCTACCAACTTTAATTGATATGCCATCTTGCCACCAATCAATGCACCAGTCGTGAATGGATTACTGCTGTAAGAAGTCTTGTAGTGAAGAAGCTACTCGTCCCAACACACTTTTGCTGTGGCATCTAAAGACAAGGCATAGTAAAAATAAGCGGATCGTAATTTATACCAAAAGGGACTATATATTAAGCTAAGTGGGACGTAATGCACAGTAAACGGTGCTCTTAACGTACAGAAAAACAACCGCAAAAGAGCAGGACTTTTCTCTCGGGGTTTATTATGACATCATTATTCGGCAACGGCAAGAAGTGTGCAAAGAGCCGGTCAGAGACACAAGCCCACGTGATGTGAATTTTGCTGTGAAAACAGGCAACAGTAGGGGTAAATTCGCTGCGTCTCTCTTTTCTTTTTTTATTATCACATAACGAAGGCTCCGATCACGTACGCAAATAATCAAGGAAGCAAAGGTAGTCTAGGAATGAGGAATTCAGGAAGAGCGCAACACAGATCTTTCTTTTTTGGATAGTGACGAAGTTACGCGTGTGCCAAACCTTGAACGTTCCTACAGCTTTCCCAAACGAAAACTATGCGCATTGTGACGCAGCGATTTGGCCATTGACTTCGCACTCGAAATGCACAAAGGGATGGCGAGTGAACAAGGTGATCAATAGAGCAACAATATGCGCAAAAGTGTCAAACGTTGGAGGAAGTCATCGTTTGTAGTGTTATTCTTCTGATCGTCCCAAAGGAACTTAAACGCTGCTTTAAAAGAACGTAGAACCGCACAAAAACAAACGAACCGATTTACTTTATCGCAGCAATGGAAAACATGAAGGATGAGTCGAATTCACTAGCGGCAGCGGATACTTATCTATGAGCGGGCCAACTTATCTGCAGCAGCATATACTTGGGATGGAGGATAGAACTTAGTAGTAGCATCAACTGGGATGGAGGATGGAGGGAGGAGGTTACACGGCGTGGTTCAGAGAACTGTTGGCGGATAGCGAATGGTAAAGCAACAGTTGACGAGCACGGTTAAGCATAAAGATTACGGGTCTTTATTATATACTGCAGCGATGGGGGCATCTTTTTCCGCACACACACAACATTACGTACCACACACACAGTCAAAAGATAATATTA